AGATGGCTTTGTTCTAAAGCTAAGTAAATATTTATTCTCACCCCAGCAAGTTAGACTTTTGTCGTTGCTGGATATGTTTAGTTAGCTTGCCATCATGGTAACCCAAGACAATTAGCATATACAGAGAAAATGACTGGTTTGGGGTCACAGTTTGATGGCTCTTGTCTATGACTGACTTCTTGTGTTTGAGTCTATGTCAAAGGAGCACATGGTGGGGGGGCACTGTGAACACATACTGCTCACCTTGTGACCAGAACGCAAGGGTGGAGGGGTAGAGTAAGGGGCTAGATCCACAGTCACTCTCAAGGTCATGACGTTAGGACCCTCTCACTAGACCCTCAGCAACTCTCAGTCTTGAGTCTACATAGATAACATCTAGACACAATTTCCAGTTGCCGTTGTCCTGCCTGAAGGATTTCTGTGCAGTGTGGGTCTGCTGGGGAGACTTCCCTTTCCCCCTTGTCAGTGGCAACCTCTCCTTCATCTTCTCTTGGGAGAGATAGATACTTCTGCTATCTGCAGAGCTTTAAACAGACAGGTTAAACACTATCGCAATGTTTACAATGCTCCTATATTGTCTTCAGGCTCAGCCCTCCCACAGCGTGGTTTGAACATCTGATCTTGTTAATGTGTGTCTGTGCTGCTTAGGTTTTTGTTTTTGCCAGCTTGACACAAGTCAGCATCATCTGGGAAAAGGGAACTTGAAATGAGGAAGTGTTTCAGTTTGGCCTGTGGGATTACTGACGGATGTGGGAGGGCCCAGTCCACTGTGGGTGGTGCCATCCCCTTGGCATGTGGTCCCTGATTGTACAAGAAAGGCCGAGTGAGCCATGGGGAGCAAGACTGCTTCAGTTTCTGCCTGCAGCCTCCTCTCCTGCTTGAGTACCTGCCTTGGCTTCCCTTAGTGAAGGACAGTGATTGAACTTGTAAGCCAAATAAACCCTTTCTTCCCCAAGTTACTTTTGGTCATGATGTTTTCTCATAGATATGGAGACCATTCCACCCATGCCTGGCTCAGTGAACCAGTGAATTTATTGGGGTTACTCATAGGAACATGGACAGCTTATGGGCAGCTATGGTTTCCTTCTTTCGCCATCATTTACTGCTATGTGTTCTCAGGAAAGCCCTCTCCTCTCCAGTGAAGGGGAATGTTGGTAGTCGCAGTCCCATGGGGGCCCTGCCCTGGTGATGAACGTTGCTCTGGTCTAAGATGGCGACAGTTACATCCAACCTGGAATCAGCCTCCCAGCATTCCCGTTTTTGCCCTGGGTATAACAGTTCTTCTCTGCCTGGTTTGACGAGTTTCTTGTTGCTGTTTTTGTTGTTGTTGCTGTTTAAGATTTATTTACTCGGGGGCTGGAGAGATGGCTCAGAGGTTAAGAGCATCGCCTGCTCTTCCAAAGGTCCTGAGTTCAATTCCCAGCAACCACATGGTGGCTCACAACCATCTGTGATGAGGTCTGGTGCCCTCTTCTGGCCTTCAGACACACAGACAGACAGAATATTGTATACATAATAAATCAATAAATATTAAAAAAAAGATTTATTTACTCATTATGTATACAGTGTTATGTCTGCACATATGCCTGCAGGCCAGAAGAGGGCACTAGATCTCAATACAGATGGTTGTGAGCCACCATGTGGTTGCTGGGAATTGAACTCAGGACCTCTGGAATAGCAGGTAGTGTTCCTAACCACTGAGCCATCTTTCCAGCCCCCTTGTTGCTGGTTTAAGCAATTTGAATGTAATTCACTTAAGCATAATTGTCTTCATGTTTCTTAGGTTTAGAGTTTTGTGAAGTTCTTGTGTCTGTGGGGTCAAAGCTTTGAACAACTTTGGACATTGGTGGCCATTGCTTCTTGCGGCATTTCTCCAGCTCACCCCAAAGTCCTCCAGAGACCCCAGTTAATGCACATGCTGCTCCTGCTGTCTCAGCTCTCTGCAGCTCCCTGTTCACTTTTAAAACTCTTTTTACAATTTTATTATTATTATTTTTTGTCCGTATTTTCTCTTGTCTAGTTTCTATTGCTATGACTTCGGGTGCACTAGTCTCTATCTCACATGTCTTTATATAGCCTATTATAAATGGAAAATGGACATATTAGAGAGAACGTCATAGTTCTAAAATTTTTAAGTTGTCTCAGACTTTTATGGAAAATAAATTTTGTTTTGTTTAAGAAAATGACTCCTTTTGCCTCTAGCTAAGACTAGATGGCTCTTTGTGCTCTCACAGTTAAGCAATTGGTGCTATAATCTACACTGTCTCTCTGGCCTGAGGTCCCCTGGGTCTCTCTGTCCCTCGTTCCCCTCATGCCCTTTCAGTTGTCCTTTCTAAACTTTTCTGATTTCTGCTGCCATACTGCTCTGAATCACCACCATTTCTCTCTTGGCTGGTAACCCTGCCCTCCTCAGGGGCTCTCCTGCTCCTTAGTCCCTTTGTTTCATTTCGATCTGTGATTTCCCACAACATCTCAGCATCCTTTGGTTTTTCGAGACAGAGTTTCTCTGTAGCTTTGGAGCCTGTCCTGGAACTAGCTCTATATTCCAAGCTAGCCTTGAACTCACAGAGATCCATCTGTCTCTGCCTCCCAAGTGCTGGGATTAAAGGCGTGTGCCACCACTGCCCGGTGTTGGCACTCTTATAATAGCTAGAAGACCACATTCTTCTTCCTTCCCTCGGTTTCTAGGTTTTTGGACTTCAAATGAGCCCCAGATGCCTTTCTGAACAATTTTCCCCCTTTCTCTTGTTTTCTTTTTTTTCAAAACTGACCAAAACTCAGAAGAAAAATATATCTTTTCTTGCAGTTCAAGAGAGAATATATAGTCATCTTTGGAGGTTCATTTTCAGGACCTCTCATTGGTACCTAAATTAGAAGAGTTTCAGCCTGTTCCAGGCAATGGCCTGGACCTGTGCATGTCCTCTCTGCTGTAAACCATTTCTAGGTTGCTTAGAATACTCATACAGTATCAATGCTGTGGGGATAGGACACTGTTGTTTATATTCAGTGCCAGCCCTCCCCCTGCCCTATCCTAGGTAGGGCTTCTTTGGCTGTGATAAAACACAATGACCAAAAGCGACTTCGGGAGGAAAATGTTTCTTTTCATCCTACAGCTGTAGTCCATCATCCTGGGAAGTCCGGGCAGGAACTCGAAGCGTTAACTAAAGCCGAGGCCATGGATGAACGCTGCCTCCTGGCTTGTTCCGCCTGGTTTCTGCCTGCCCAGGTATGGCATCACTCCTAGTAAGGCTGGGCTCACCTGTGTTATCAATAGAGACTTGCCTGCAGGCAAATCTTATGGAGGCATTTTCTCAGTTGAGGCTCCGTCTTCCTGAATGACTCTAGTTTGTGTCACGTTGATATAAAACCAACCATCACGTGCCCCAGAATATTTTCTTTTCATGGTTGGTTGGATGCAGACCCTATAGACCCTACTTCATGAGTTCTAAGGCAAATCAAGTCAAGATGTATCTTAGAGCCATATATATACAGGAACATGCCAGGGTTTAATTGATTGCACTTTTTCTAAATGTTACATAACGTTGTGGCAACTGAGACCTGTTAAACTGGATGGATTATAGATCTAAAACTTTTGAAGTCAGGTTTTGCCTTTACCACCGAACTCATTTTGTCTCTGCCAAGCCCTTCCGGTTTAATGGAATGCAGCAAACGGACAGGCTGAATCCTTCCTTGACTTGCTTGCTACTGGGTCAGAGTCTAAGGAACCCTATTCTGCCCACTCAGCACTGTGTGAAGTCCTTTTCCTCCTTGGGTCTTTGCCACTGTCTTCCTTCACCAGAATGAAGGCATGGGCTGCGTGTGAGTGTGCCCTATCTCAGTGCAGATAGGAACTGTGCCCAGCAGCTTTCCAGTACTCTGATAAAATACTCTCGTTAGTTACCGCCATTCACGGTACCTGAGATTCTAGCTTGTGATCGCTGGGCTGTTACAGTTTAGTGTTGTCAAGATGGGACAAATGGTGGAGGGGGCCTGTTTATTTCTGACAGCAGGGAAACAGAGAGAGGGGAGACGGAGGGAGAGAGTTAGTTAGTTAGTTAGTTAGTTAGTTAGTTAATTCAGGACTCCAATATCTTCTTTGAGAACTGCCCATAGCCTAAGTTCAGCTCTAGCTAAGTCATATGCTTTGATGGCTTTACCACCTCCCATTAATGCCACAGGCTGACTATAATAGCCTTTAACACAAGGGCCTCTGGGTGGCGTTTAAGATCCAAACTATAGCAGAAATACTGCGATTTTAGGATAGTTTTGCCTCAGAGAAGTCAGGGTGTTAACTCCCAGGTCAGTGTGAGGTTGTATGAATCGCAGCATCTTTTTTTTTTTTTTTGGTTTTTCGAGACAGGGTTTCTCTGTGGTTTTGGAGCCTGTCCTGGAACTAGCTCTTGTAGACCAGGCTGGTCTCAAACTCACAGAGATCCGCCTGCCTCTGCCTCCCGAGTGCTGGGATTAAAGGCGTGCGCCACCACCGCCCAGCAGGAATCGCAGCATCTTTAATTTAAAAAAAAAAATTCTACTTTTTCCCTGACAGTGTTTCATGTGTGTGTGCGTGCATGTTTGTCTGTCTGTCTTCTGTTTGTCCATCTCCCAGGCTTGGAAGGGGTCATTTGGAGGGGAGAGGGACAGTCACTCCTATTTTCAGAGCTGGGGTTTGGTTTAGGGCCGATGAGGAACGGTAAAAGTGTGGTCCTTTATTTCCCCTTCCCCAGCTCTCCCTGGTGTTAATATGATGGTGAAAGCATCTGCCTAGTGTCGTGGTGCGGTCTGAGTGGCTGTACTCGTTAACGCAGGAATGTCTGTCCCTGTTACTTGTTGCTGATGCCGGGATGGTCTCGTCGATTAGTCCTCTGCAAAGCGGACGCTGGGGCTGCTGCAGTCATGCACCTGGCTTTGCAAGCAAATCGCTGGGTTCTGTATTTGACCCATAGCATGTAGAATTGCATCCAACCCTGTGAAAGGTTTATAACGTACCTTTTACCTTTCAGGCGCATAGAGATGAAATCCAGCGCAAATTTGATGCCCTTCGCAGCAGCTGCACTGTGAGTATGAACAAGCCAAAGATGAACAGACTAGAGCCGAGAAGGCAAAGGGGAGGGCTCTCTGTGGTGTCATTGCATTGGTGACTGGTTTTCCATACGCTCTTGCAGCATGAAGACCATAATGCTTTTATTTTGTTTTAGTTTTTCAGGGGGCTACTGCTTTTAAGGATGTTAAAACTGTCCTTTAGGTTTTGGAGGGGAAGGGAGTTAGGATAGTTAAAATAGTCAAATAATCCTTCCTCTAGCTGGGTCTGGGGCACGTACCTGTATAGGTAGCTGAGGTAGGAGGCCAAAGGACATTGAGGCAAAGCCAGGCTACAGATGAGAACTTCTCTGAAAACAGAAAGCCAAAGCATTTCATCTTCACCCTCACTATGGAACTGTAGAGAGATTCTGACCAAGCTCTCAAGGTAGCTCATTCCCTTCTCCAGCATGGAAGGGTCCATGGCCCACCTGGGCAAGAAATTGTCCCAATGTCAGGGACTGGTTTCCCACGTGGCTTCTCCATCCTGTGGCCTTTGCCAAGAAGAAAGACTAATTCATTCTCCTATAGACCAAAAAAGTTTGTCTTCCTAATAGGGAAAAAAAAATCACCTTTTTAATATAAAAATTCACAATCTAGGACCCTTGTGGGTGACGTCACTTCTGTGGAGCAATTCTATCAGCAGACGAGCATCACTCACAGGTTACATAATCCAGTCAAGTCAGTGAAGAAGCAAAGTCTATTTTTGATCAAAATGAAGGACAGAAATAGGCCCCTTTAGGAGCTGGGGCTGCTGTCCTTATTTGTGCTTCTGTATCTTTGGTCGTTTTGTGGATTTTGACTTTCTCGGTCCTCGGTGGTCCTGTCCCTGTGTGTACGGCATACGCCTGTGGATTTCCAGAAGCACCCCTCCCACACACGGGTACTCTTTCCTTTATTGTCACACTCAGTCTTGGGTGCACACTGTCCTGCTAGGGAAGGTTCCTGTGCAGGTCCTTGGGTAGCTGTGAGCACTGATCCCTGGAGAGCACATGACCAGCCATGGAGTTGCTAGGTCACTAGATGAGTTTGTCAGGTAGTTTTGGTCTGTGTGTCCAGATGTGGTGGGCAACGGTCCTGCCTCCACATGCCTGTCAGTTGCCCCTCCTCCCCGTTCCTTGAAGAACTGGTGAACTCTGTACTTGTCCATCTAGTATTTTTAGTTCCTGATTTTTGCTCCAGTAATTTATGCCACATACGTGCTTATAAATGATCACAGAGTAATAAAATACAGATTTGGTGTGAAGTCTCTCTTTTCTTTCTTATTCAATTATTTTGAAATAAGACCTCACCTTGTAGCCCAGGCTGACCTTGGATTTTCTACCCTTCTGCCCCAGCCTTCCAAGTGCTTCGATTTCAGGCAAAGGTCACCATTCTGTCCCTGAGATTCTTTGAATGTACTTAAATATCTTTCAGAACAAGGAGCCTATGAAAAAGAGAAAGGTTGATAAATTTAATAGATAAAAATATAAGTATTTTTTCATTCAAAATACTCTAAATCAACAAGATTAAGTGAAAAGAAAAATAAATTATGAGAAATGTTAAACAGCACACTTTCTTTTCTAGAAAAATCATAAGTTTTTACAAATTGATACCGATCAATTATCTAATCAATAGCAGCAGACACGAGCTGTGCCTCCTTTACGTGACTAACTCTTCCTCAAGCTTGGATGGCTTTAAAACATGTCAGTCGGCAAACCTGTTCCGTTTGCCCAACAGCGCTTTTTACTTCTTCAGTTTTCTACCATAGACGTTAAAAATGAGCTTTCTGTGTGTGATTGAGGTGTGATCGGTATAGACTAGACTTCAGGGGTTCCGAAATGTGTAAACGCCCGTGAAACCGGCAGAGTGGGAATAAGAAACATCCCCCCCCCACACACACCCTTAAAGGTTTACATGTTACTTTGTGAAGCCTGGCCACCAATTTTAAAATTGCAAGTTTGGCCATAAGGGAACCTGCCAGTATGTAAAATTAGTTTGATTTTTGGTTTAGCTTATGTAATGCTTATACTTTTAAATTTTTATTTCTATTTTTTTTTTTACCACTGGTATTTGGTGGTAAGGCCTATGGGACCCTTTCCAAATTTTGGTGGGGGGGCATCTAACAGAGTGTCCTCCACTCCACATATTAACTAGAACAGAGGGAGACACAGGGGTCCAAGCCGCGGACTCTGGGGTCAGGCCTACAGGATTTGTATTCTAAAGCGGCCACCAGCAACCTATCCGATACCATCTTCCCATTTCTTTGTTATAAAATGGGACTAGCCTATAGCCTCGCGTCCAGCGTGGCATTGATGTTTCCAGTTGACAGTCAATGACTGTGGTTTGGGTTCTGGATGAGGGAAGATGGGAAACTGTCCATTTCTGAGAAGTATTTGAGTTTCAGAATCAGTAAGACCTCAATGGCAGCAGGAGCCATTGGCGTTGGGGGTGACAGCACCTCCAAGGACTCCTGCAGTATTAGATGAGGCACCTAACAGACACATCCAGGCTTGGCCCACAGAGAGGACTAAGCCATGTTGGCTTCTGCAGTTACCTCGGGTTCATACCATAATCTTTGATTTGGAAAATGGCCTTTCTACTTTAAAAACTCTGGGAACATCTACTTCAAGACATTAGCTACAGTAGTGGGTCTCAGTGACACGGTAAAGTTCAACGCAGCTTTAAAGATGCGGGATCTTGTCCTGAGTGTCCTTCCCTCTGGATGCTGTCCAAGATGGCCTCTGCTAGGAAGTGTCCCCTGTGTCACTGGTAAGAGCTCCATACTAACCTAGTCACGAGGAGCGCCTGGTTAGCGATTTCACAGAGCCGGGGGCAGGAGACTTCCAAGTTCTGACCATTTCTATGTTTTGAAGGGATTTTAAAAAAGGATTTGATTCAATCTGGCACCTAAACCCCTCCCTGTGTCTGTTTTAGAGGGGAGTTGGTGGGCAAGCATATGACACAGCTTTAATTATGAATCAATCTGTCAGCTATAAGATTAAAAATAAATAATATGCAAATAGCTGCCTTCGGGAAAGTAGGCATTAAAATAGGCTGGGTCCTGAGCCTTTGGCTGCTGTTCATTGTGTGCCTGGTTTCTGCCACCTAACACGACACCAGTCTTTTCTAGTTCGGCATGAGGGGTCGCATGTACAGGGCAGAGGGTAGACTTGAGAAGTGACAGGCTACTCCAGATAGAGCTGTGCTTGTGTGTGCCCATCTATTCCTTTTCCTGACACTGGAGGAGACAGTCTTGTGTTCTTGTTCTCTTAGAACTGCACCAAGATCTGTTGTTCACAAAATAGCCTACAAGAAAACCTGGCTGGCCTCCATGTGGGGAAGCTGCCCTCTGCCCTGTCTTTTTTTTTTTTTTTAACTGTGAAGTAGAATTAGACATTCTATTTATCTTTTTTTTTTTTTTAAACCCTCTGTTCTTGGGACCTAAAAGTTAATGAACATAACTAAGTCTGTCAGTAAACAGACCATCCTCCCTCAGCGTGGAAAGAGTTTACTCATGGCCACAAAGTTGAACTAAGAATTGTTGCATATCACCTGGTTCAAAAGCAAGCATGACACCAGGCATCTTGGCACATGTCCACAATCCCAGCTCTGAGGAGGCTGAAGCAGGAGGCTGTGGGACTTTGAGGCCAGTCTAGGCTAAATATGTCTCAGAGAAACAAAAGCAAAAGAGGCCAAAGCAGTCAGTGTATCTCGAGCCTTGGTTTCTGAGCCGCATCGTGGAGACGAGCTTGAGTTTCAGAGCCGCTTTCAAGGTTTGACCTCTTTCTCTTCCAGCTGTGTGCCCTTGGTGAAGTCTCTTAGTCTCCTGGTTCCCCGACTTCCCCACCTGTAAAATGAAACTAAAATAACCCTTCAGAGAACAGTTGGAGGGATTGCTCGTTGTACTTTAACCTGGTGACGTGTCTCATGTCAGCTCAGTATCTGTAACCTCGGGAAAGTGGGCAGAGACGTGTCTACTCACCACTTCACCTCGCTGCTTAGAAAGGGCAGAAGCCGGTGTGTTCTGACTTGGGCAGGTGGGCAGTCCAAAGTGGAAATGCTTTAGAGCCCTGTGCACGCATGCACGCCTGTCACCCCTATCTAATGAGGAAAACGGAGACAGTGAGACATTCAGAACAACAATCAGATGTTGGGAACAGAGGCCAGAGACACTGGGAATGGAGGGACCTTTGCTCCTTAGCAGCCCTACCTCAAGTGGGGAGGAGCCCAGACTTGGCCACCTCATTAGTTTTTCACAGGTTTCTTCTTTAGCTTTTTATAATCTTAATTTGGGAAAAAGAGAAATGATGACAGAAATGGGTTCATAATAATCTGTATTTTTTTTCCTGTGAATCAAAGAAAGGAAGTAGTCACCCAGAAGCTTAAATATAAACTGTGAATGGCAAGGAAATTATATTTTCTCTGTGAATAGATTTTTTGCAGTTGGTCTGTTCCCCAAGAGGTTTTTCAGAATGAAACACCATTTTGGTCACTAATTTATATCCCATATATATCTCACAGCACAGGACTTGAATAGATACAAGACAATTTAAAAATAAAAGATCAAGAATAAATATAGGGGCTGGAGACGTGGCTCAGGGTTTAAGAGCACTGGCTGCTTTTCCAGAGGTCTTGAGTTCAATTCCCAGCAGCCTCCTGGTGGCTCACATCCATCTATCATAGGATCTGATGCCCTCTTCAGGCCTGTAGGCTTATATGTAGAGCACTCATACATAAAATAGAAATAAATAAATTTAAAGGAAAAGAGTAAATATGGTATTTATTTCCATGTCACAGATGGAGAAACCTACCCAAGTACAAACTCACTTGAGTTCCGGGATCTTCCAAGCTTGCTTGTTTGTCCCATTCTGCTCTTTTTCTTTGGGGAAGGGGCAGAAGGAAGTGAACCGGTTTGCTCCCAGTGCTCCGGTTAACTGGAGACTTTTACTGTTTAGGGGAAGAGCCTCGGGTGGTGGGGTTACTTTGTGTAGGATGAAGACAGGTGGAGTGTGTGGAATTGTCGATCTCAACTAAGCCATGGCACCGGAAGTGTGACAAAGGGACCCTTGAGGCAAACTGTGAGGTGTAGCACGGCACACGGTTCCATTTCCAGGCTTCTAAGGAAGCTATTTCGTCCAGGTGCCCGCTCACAGCTTGCGGTGCACCCCTTGCCAACACGGTCCACACAGGTTCCAGACCACTTGCGCCCCGAGAGGCTCACTGCTCTGTCAAATGGGCTTTTAGACTCTTATCTATGATCTTTAGTTCTGTGTGCATAGGAAGACTGTTATATTTTTAAATTGATCAAGACAGTTGAGTTGGGTTGGGTTAGGCATACTAGCAATGCTAACAGGTCACAAAAGTATGTCTGTTGTAGGCGCAGAAGCCCGAAACAGTTAATAACTGCAGGCTTAAAGATGTTTCCTTTTAATTTACTTCTTTTTGTTACATAAAATTTAATTTATGTCCCACGTGCCGTATTCTAACTATTATGAGAAAATTACCCTTAAACTTCGAAAGTATTTTATATAAATGTTCTCTACAAGCACTGATGCTAAGCCTCGGCAAAGAGAACAGGCAAGCTAAACGCACTGAAATGGAAGTCGTTCTGCCATTGAACAGGGAAATAATTTAGTAAAACCAGATTAAATCTCTCTCAATAGAATGACAATTTCATAGACTTGGAGAGCTCACTGCGTAGCAGAACCCATTAAGCCGCATCGTGATGTGGTATTGTATCCTCAGAATTAGCCAGGCTTCTCTTAAGATTTCTTCCCCATCTTTGTTACACAGAATTAAATTCACTGCCTGTGCTTTTATTTAAATGACGCTTTTCATTGTGATTCTTCCCTGATAAAACTTTATTTGGCTTCCTAAGACTGTGGCTGTGTGCAGCGGCAGTGTTCTGTAGGTGGTGTCAAGGTTGATTTCGGTTTAATCAGATGATTGCAGTCTCAGACAGACCTCTCTCCTTGGCCTGTGTCCCCTTCTGCTATTAACCGGATCTCATTCCAGCTGGCCCATCCATTTAGCGCTTGGTTGTGATTGGCTCTTGCCATGTTTTCCAGATGTATCATAAGTTAGAGAGAAAGGAGATGCCTTCCCTCAGACTGCCTGCTCTAACTAAGGAGCCGGTGCGGGAGCCTGAGTTGGGCATCAAGTCACATACCTGCATGTCGGTTCCCATTGTCATGCCATGTGACACTATCCCGCTGCGGCTATCAGAACCACTGACCTTTCTTGATACCTAAGTCCCCTCTTGCCACCCCACCCCCACCCCATAGGTCATCACTGACCTGGAGGAGCAGCTGAACCAGCTGACCGAGGACAACGCTGAACTCAACAACCAAAACTTCTATTTATCCAAACAACTTGACGAGGCCTCTGGTGCCAACGATGAGATTGTGCAGCTGCGAAGCGAGGTGGACCATCTCCGCCGTGAGATCACCGAGAGGGAGATGCAGCTCACCAGCCAGAAGCAAGTAAGAGGAGAGGCCGTGCCCTCGGGTCCTGGACGACCCTCAGAGGGATTTGGAAGGGTCTGGAGTGTTCTCTCTGAGGGGGTCCAAGACCAAGTAGGCTCCTGCAAGCAGGCTTCTTGTCAATCCTGGTTTATAGTTTTTAAATAAATCCTGGATTATGGTTTTTAAAATGGCTTTTAAAAATGGGTACTGGGGTTAAGAGTGCTTACTGCTTTTCCAGAGTTTGTGAGTTCAGTTCCCAGCACCCACATGGTGGCTCACAGCAGCCTGTAACCTCCAGTTCCAGGGAATCTGGTATCATCTAACAGCACCCGTAGGTAGCTGCATAAGTGTGACTGGAACACACACTCACATATATATATATATATATATATATATATATATATATATATATATATATGAGAATATATATATGACTAGTATGGAAGCTAGTCAACATGACTGAAGAATGCAAACCAGTTCCAGCTTTGTTTTGCTGTGTCCTGTGACTCAGATATGTGGTTTTCTTAGCAACAAAGTCATACCATCATATTATAGAAAGTAATAAAAAAACAATAGCAATAGTATGCAATGTTTGTAGACTATCTGTGAGTCTCTAGTTCATAAAAGGTAACCAATACCTTTTATTGGGCTTTATATTTGATAGTCTATGGTAATAACTTGGAGGGTCATGTTCTACCTACGTACTGCTAACTGTTATCGAGTATACAACATTTATATATGATGTGGGGTGTCATATATCAATCTGTTGATTTCATTGGTTAAGCAATAAAGAAACTGCTTGGCCCTCATAGGTTAAAACATAGGTGGGAGGAGTAAACAGAACAGAATGCTGGGAGAAAGAAGCTGAGTCAGTGAGTCGCCATGATTCTCCCACTCCAGGCAGACACAGGTTAAGATCATTCCTGGTAAACCAGCTTGTGGGCTAAAGCAGATTATTAGAAATGGGCTAGTCCAGGTGCGAGAGCTAGCCTAGAAGAGGCTAGATAGAAATGGGCCAAGCAGTGTTTAAAAGAATACAGTTTCCGTGTAATTATTTCAGGTAAAGCTAGCCATGCGGGCGGCCAGATGCTGGGGACACAGCCCTGCCGCTCCTATTACTACATATATATGTGTACCTTTTAAGAAGTTTCTACAGTAGTGTGTTTCCATGTGACATTTTCAAAGGTCTTTAAATGCTATTTCTCCTTGCCTGCACTTTCTTCTCTATCCTACCCTCCTATTACTTATCTGATTTAACTCTTTCTGTTCCTCTTTTAATACCTCACTTTATGGAAGTCTCTTCAGCATGATATATATATATTCCATATATATATTCTCACACACACGCCCTGTAGGCACCTGGACACATGTGGCATACACACACACACACACACACACACACACACACAAATAAAAATAACAATAAGAAATCTTTAGAAGTGGATAGATTGGTTTTTAAAGATGGGCTCTCACTGTGTAGCCCTACCTAGCCAGAACTTACTAGTGTGGCAGAGGCTGACAGTAGACTGTTGACCTTCTTTCTCCTGAGTGCTGGGATTATAGGTGTCATTGTGCCCCCCCTCCACCTCGGGTCGTACCTCTCAGATGGTAGTGTGGATAGGTGGCCTTTGGTCTGTTGTCATCTGGTCCCCTTGGGCTGTGGGATAGAGAAACGACCTGTCTGTTGAGTCTGGTTAGGAACTTCTGCTCTTCTGAAGCTCTTTGACAAAAGTCACCTCCAGGGCTCCCTGCCTGACTTGCAGACGATGGAGGCTCTGAAGACCACATGCACCATGCTGGAGGAGCAGGTCATGGATCTGGAGGCGCTAAACGATGAGCTGCTGGAGAAAGAGCGTCAGTGGGAGGCCTGGAGGAGCGTCCTCGGGGACGAGAAGTCCCAGTTTGAGTGTCGCGTTCGAGAGTTGCAGAGGATGCTGGACACTGAGAAGCAGAGCAGGTGGGACTTCCCCTTTCGTAGAGAGCCAGTGCCAGGTGATCACACCTGAATCCCCCCAGAGCATCAAACAAGGCCACCAACTGTCCCAGTGTCCTGAGACCACGCTGTCTCCCTGGACGCAGGACATTCAGAGCAATGACCAGCATAGTCTCAGGCGAGCCAAGGAGGGGTGGACATCCTGGCTGAAAATCTGGCAAATGTCACATGAATCCTGTGGTTGTGCAGAGGCCCAGAACAAGGCTGATAAAAAATGCCCATGCTTTTCTGTAGAAATAGCCTTGCCAAGATTCTTATCCCAACCGTGTCACCTTAGTAGTGAGGTCGCCACCATCTGAATCCTGGTCATGAGGACTCTTTCACTTCCTTCTGCGCTAGAGCGCTAATGCCTTGGATTGCCTGGGCATTCCCTCATTATGTGTGTATGAGGTGCTTCGTGCCTGGTTTCTTTTTATTAGATGCCAGCAACAACTTACTGCTCAGGCTGTGATAGCTAAAACCAATCCTAGAAGTTACCCAGTGTCCCCTGGGGTGAGCATGGAACTGCACCCACTCCCTTCTCCTCTCTCTCTCTCCCCCTCCTCCCCCCACTTTATCTCCTATCTTTTCCTTTTAAATATTCCTGCCCAGTTCTCAGTTCCCTTCCCGCTGGGCGTCACAGTTCATGGAGTACTGTTCTCATTGAATGTGCTACCTAACTGAAGGGTGCTAACACTCAGTGTGTAACCCATGGCAACTCACTGTCTTTTCTACCATGTTACATAAAGATGGCCAGAAACTACCTTGAAATCCAAGGGCCCACTGTTTTACTTTTTCCACACGGGCCGACATTAGCTGGTGACTTCATGTCTCTTCCTATGTGGTATCTATCCTTCAGAACCCTGCTGATGTCACCTCCCCGGGGGTCTCTGTATCCCGTAAGCAAGGTAACCTAATGAGACTGTGTCAGTCACTTTCGTATCCCCAGCAGTTACTTGGTGGCCGTGGACTTTATAATAAAATATGCTGGCTGAATGGTCTGCTTCCTAGCTGAGCTGAAATAGAAAAGATGGGATGCAAAAGATGAGAACTCCTAAATTATGAGAGAAACTGGGAGCAGCAGTTGCCTCGTGACAAATTCGTGTGTTTGATGTGAGGGACTGCTGTTTTAGAAACCTGTCCCTTCCCTTCCTTCCGCTGCCCAGGGCTGAGGTTCCACGGAAGTGCTGGCCACTCCCCCACGGATACCTTCCAGAGCACACTCAAGCCCCACTTCTCTCTGAGCTGTTCCTTCAGTCTGTCAGGGATAAGTCGGGGGCCTGGGGAGTGGATCTGGCTTTGGAATGGAGAGATACACAGCCACACCTGCAAGGTGCATGCACTGCTTCATTCCGTGTCTGGGCGATCGTGGGAGGTCCGGCCTGCTTCTCCACTCTTGTTTGGTATTATGTAACCCTCATCCTAAGAAGCCAAGAGTCACCTTCCAGTTGTTTAGATGTCTGTCACCTAGAGTAGAGAGTACTGCCTGCTTGCAGAGCAGTGGAGAACAAGGAAGAAGAGGAGCTAGGGCAGGGTCGTGGAGCCCGCGCATGGGTTCTCCAGGACGACTAAGAATTTCTGGAATAGAATGTTGTCTCACACAAGCCAGTGGTGCAGAGGTGGGAAAATAGAGGGCTTAGATGTGGGAGAAGAAGGGATTTTCCTCCCTTTTACATTTGAATTTTTGTCTTATTTAGTGGATGCATTCATAAGTTTCAAGTTTCTATGAGCCCTCAAAATGCTTAGGTCTTGCCTGCGCCCTAAGGGGAGAAGGTGGTCACTCAGATTCGAACGGAATCCCCCGCGGTCTGCCGCATGCTCTGGTTCCTTGGTGGCGGTATGGAGGGGCCATCTGCAGGCATCTGTGACACTCTGGACACACCCCCATCTAGTCCAGTTGCTTTTGAGAATGACTTTCCTCTTCAGCCCGAGCCTTTCCACAGTCAGTCCCCGCAGGAGCTTTTACTGCTTGCAGTGTAGCGAGCTGCGTGAAATCACACCTGATGGAGATGTATAATCAACTCCTGAGATGGCTAAGGCCTGACCTATGCCTGATCACGCAATGATCATCAGCTGCTTGCATATGCGTGGGCCTATGGGCAGTGCCCACCTGGCAATCCGGGATTGGCAGCCCATGCCTACTTAAGGGCTGGGAGAGGTTTGCCCGGGGAGAGAGGAAGGAGAGAATGAGGTTTGCCCGGGGAGGGAGGAAGGAGAGAATGAGGTTTGCCCGGGGAGGGAGGAAGGAGAGAAAGAGGTTTGCCCAGAGAGAGAGGGAGAGAGAGAGGTCAACGGAGAGAGAGGAGGAGAAGGAAAGGAGAGAGAGAGAGAAAAGAGGAGAGGAGAGAGAGGGGAAGAGAGAGGAGAGAAAGAGAAAGAGAAGGAGAAGGAGATGAATTGCTGTGAATAAAGTCCTGAAAACTGCTGCTAGAAGAGCTCCGGGTGTTGCGTTTTTCCTTGCTGGTCGAGGGTGGACGTGACACTGCAGGGCAATTTTAACCCAAGTCTGAAATGGGTCAGACTTTTGCTCTGTAAGCTGCAGGGAAGGAAGACAGCATTTAAAGGTAGAATACACGGTTGGGCTTCTTCTCTGGCAGGGCGAGAGCCGATCAGCGGATCACCGAGTCTCGCCAGGTGGTGGAGTTGGCAGTGAAGGAGCACAAGGCCGAGATTCTCGCTCTGCAGCAGGCGCTCAAAGAACAGAAGCTGAAAGCTGAGAGCCTGTCCGACAAGGTTAGCGCCCATCCCGTCCTTTCCTGTAGGGAAACGTCTTCCTTTCCTCCTTTAAGGCAGGCTTAACTTAACACGAATTCAGATACAGCTGTGGTAAACATATTTCATAAGCATGCCTTTGCTCCAAAAATGCCAGACACGATTCACTTCAGGGCAGTCTTGGTTGGCGATGGCATAGCTGGGTATGCTGGGTCCCAGGTTATCCTGCATGGGTGGCGAGTTTTTGACATCTCCCCATGGACCCCAAAAGTCCAATGCTGGGGACGCAATGCTATTTTATTCCTAAAAAGCTTCAGAAGCCTCCTGTTGCTCTTCCTTCAGCAGAACGTGGCAGCAGTGACTTGTTCTTGAAGTGTGACTGTAGGCACATGTATTTTTTTCTCTTGCTATAACCAAGTATTTGGGACCAGCTAATTTATAAAGAGCATATTTGGCTACTATTCTACAGGCTAGAAAGTCCAAGATGGTTGTATCTGTTGAGGTCCCTCTTGCTGTGACATATTGATGGCAGATACTGCGCGGTGAGGCAGAGCTCCTTAGGCCAGCTTAAGCATCTGTGTAGGAAGCCACTAATGCCTCCCTGGGGCCTCGCCTTAAGAGCCTCATGTAATACTGATATCCAAAAGGCCCCGCCTCCAGCTATCATCCGCACCTAAGTCAGATGAAGTTTCTAGTATTTGGGGGACAATTCGGACCACAGTCCGTGCACACAAGTCCTCAGTGTGTCACAGGGCGTTCTGTCCATGCCCGTGGTCTGCCATATACCTGCAGTGACGCGCCAGTGTTTGGTGCTTTTGTCTAATAGACTTGAAGAAATGTACTAGACCCTTGATAGCAACAGGAGATAACAGAGAAACTTTTGTTTCCTCTTCACATATGTGCACATAAAATGGCAATTGGGGTTTTATTTCATGTTTATAAAAGTCATTTCTTGGGGCTACTGTGGAAAAATAACAAAATCACAGGAAAAGTAAAAGAAAAGCTGGTACCAGTTACCTTGTTTGCTTATCTTATGCACGCAGACATGTGCATACACACATTTTTTATAACTTTAGACTCTTACTATTTATATACTTTAACATCTTTTTTTAAAAAAATCATGTAACTGGAGGCTTTCCCTGGCTTATTAATATTTTTTAAACTTGTAATTCTGAAAAACTAAAATTGCACACAGGCATCTAATTTGAGCATTGCTTCTGTACAGGAAATTTGGGCTTCGTCCAGGTTTTGTCCCCCCCCCATATGAATAACACTGTGATGAACATAGATCTCTATGGACATCTGTGATTAGTTTCTTACTGGAAATTCACAGAAGCCGAAGCCCTGATCTCAAGGCTATAACTCTGCTCTCAAGGACAGCTCTGACTTGGGGTCTAGCAGGTCAAGATTGGTAAACATTTACTGTCTTGAGAAATGAACCTTTCTGGGTTTAGCTGATTGCTGCTTTTTTTAGTCTAGTTGGCTATTTTTGTAGTATTTAATACTCAACCTCTAGATATCCTGACACGACTTTATCTTATCTGTAACAAGGCCGTCGTCCTTCGTGGGTGTACCTCCTGGTAGCTGACATGCCTTGCAGTAACCACATTCTCTGCCTTTCTGGACCAGATGAAGGATACTTGGGAATGCTCGTCCATCTTTTCTCTTTTTTTGGTTTTTTTCGAGACAGGGTTTCTCTGTAGCTTTGGTGCCGGTCCCGGAACAAGCTCTTGTAGACCAGGCTGGTCTCGAACTCACAGAGATCCGCCTGCCTCTGCCTCCTGAGTGCTGGGATTAAAGGCGTGCGCCACCACCACCCGGCTCGTCCATCTTTTCATCCCAACAGCTATCATATATTTGTGAACCCTCAGAATATGATCATTTAATTAAATTTAGGCAAAACATGACCAGTTTTTTAAGCCACTCTCTTAAAACTTGGTGCAGTGACACTTGGCCCACAGAGGGGATGCCTGTCCTCATATTTGTTGTGTGGACTTGTCTTTTTTTTTTCCAAATGAAAACCTGAGACTTTTAGACCGTGCTTATCCTTTACATGTGAAGGTTTGGGAACATCTCACAAAGTCTGCAGCCCTTTAACATTCCCAAATGTGGCATCATGGCCAATTTTTCCAAATGCTCAGCTCAACGACCTGGAGAAGAAGCACGCCATGCTCGAGATGAACGCCCGGAGCTTACAGCAGAAGCTGGAGACGGAACGGGAGCTCAAGCAGAGGCTTCTGGAGGAGGTGAGGGAACCACCTGGAAGGACAAGCCAGTGTGCACGTGTGTCTGTGTGCATGCATGTATGTGACACTGTGTGTGTGAGTGAGTGTGTCTGTGTGTGTTGCATACATGTGTATGTGTGGGCTTGTGTGCTTGTGTGCTCTGCATCCAGAAGCCAGAGGAGCATGTTGGTGGCTTCGTCTGTTGCTGTGCACCCTGCTGCCTTGAGACAGATCCTCTCACGGAAGTGGAAGCTCCACAGTCTGACTAGACCAGTGAGCTCAAGAGATCCAGCCCTGGGGTTATTGGCATCCACAGCATGCCCAGCTTTTTAGGCGGGTGGAGGGAATTCCACCTCAGGGCCTCATTCTTGCATAGGTACTGCTTTTACCCACTGAGGCATCGCCTGAGCCCTCAGCTAAGATTTTGAAAGAAGTAAGTTGTTATATTCAGGCGATTGGATCCAAATTAGACATTCAGATTTTTGAAGCTAGAATTTCTGAGGTAGAGTTCTAAGGGGACCACATAACACTTTCTATTGCTTAACCCAGTAAAAGAGTTTGTCTTGAAGGCCAGAGCGCCCATTATTTGTGTCTTCCTGTATTGTATGGCGCTCAGTGGAGGTTGCCATTCATCCGAGTTAGGATGTGCCCAGTAGGGGCTTAGTGAGCACAGGGCTGAGTGAAGACTGAGTTAGATTGCCTGTAAGAGTTGATAGTTGAAGCATATTAAGTTTCATGTTGATAGAACACTCATGCAAATTAGCTTCCTACACAGGGCAAGGATGTGATCAGATTTTTGAGTACCAAATTTCTTGAGGACTTTTGAACATGCACTTAATTCAATTAAGAAAGAATTCTCCTGATTCTGAGACACAGGATGTCAAGCTCAAACTGATCTAAATGCATTCCTTCTGTGATTTCATGTCTTTTCTTGTCAGAACTCTGAAAATTGCTATTTAAATTGGTAAAGACTTCCCACCCCCAGCCAAAGTCTCAGACAAGGCCTCACCAATGATAATTCTTCCTCACTCACCTTGACCCACAAGGGCAAATGCACTTCCTGTTGATACCTGGTGAAAAGCTGGAGAAAGGCAAGGCAGCTCAGTTAGCTGGAGTCCCATGATGGTCACGTGGTCGGAGTTCCTGAGGCGCTCTGGTGATGGCTATGACGTGGCCGTGCTGTTCTGTCTGAGAGGCGTAGTGAAGACGTTGCAGGTCTTACAGCTGCCTACAGTGAGATGTCCCATAAAGTCGCACTTTAAAAGGCACCGCTGGGCGCTTGGCAAAGTTCTGGAGGTGGATGGTGGCGCCGTTGTGCAGCAATGCAAATGCCCTCAATGCCACTGAGCTACACTCATGGCTCAGATCGGGGCTGGGAAGATGGCTCAGTTGGTAGAGTTACGCTGCTCAGACATGAGGATCTGTCTGAGTTCGCATTCACAGCTGGTGCAGTGGCGCACCTGTAACCCCAGTGCTGGGGAGGCAGAGATCAAAGGGTCCTGGTGCCCAGTGACTGTCTAGTGTAGCTGAAACAGTTAACTTCAGGTTCAGTGAGAAGCTCTGTCTCCAGAGCTGAGCTGGGGCTGGTGAGATGACTCAGAGAAAAGGTGCTTGTGCCCAATCCCGATGACCTGTGTTCCATCTCTGGTCATGGCGGAAGGAGGGAACCAACTGCCCTCCTACACGTGATGGGGGTAGGGGTACAGCTAAAATGATCTAGTATGCAAGAAACTGACAGTTTGATCCTTAGCATCATAAATAAAAAGAAAAAATGAAGTGATTAATTTTATGTAGTATGTACAAACATATATGAATGAAATTCTTCAGATATAATGAAATTCACTGTATAAGTTGACTATTCCTTGCTAAAATACTTGGAAGTAGAAGTAATTTTGATTTTGGATCTTTGAAATATTGGCATGTTCTGGGGGTAGTGGCGCGTGCCTTTAATCCCAGCACTCGGGAGGCAGAGGCAGGCGGATCTCTGTGAGTTCGGGGCCAGCCTGGTCTATAAGTGCTAGCTCCAGGACAGGCTCCAAAGCTACAGAGAAACCCTGTCTCAGAAAAAAAAAAAGAAAAGAAAAGAAATGTTGGCACGTATAAATAATGGAATCTCTTGGGGATAGGACCCAAATGTGAACATGCGATTCCCTCCCATCACAGACACTGTGTATACATGGACTGGTGGTAATGTTAGACTGTGCTCATGTGTGCTACTGGGGCTCGAATCCAGGGCCTGATGCATTCTGGGCAAGCAGCATAATCCTGACTCCCTCAGCAGTCTTTGTCCAGTATTTTTAATATGCCCACATTTTGACTGTGACCCATCACATGAGATCAGCTGTGGCATTTTCTACTCAAGAAGTTTTGAGTTGGGGAACATTTCGAATCTGGGGTTTTGATGTTGGGAATGTTTGACATGTAATAGAAACCATCAGCCTACCAGGTGGTCTTTTCTCCGGGATGAATAGGCAATGTTCCTACAATTAGGCACAAGCTGGAAACAGAAACAGGACAGAAATAATTGAGGCTCCCGAGTGTCCTATTTTCCATCTGCGAAGGGCATGCTGGCCCTGACAGCTCCGTGCTCGGTCCAAGGTTACATGGTGAGTCAGTGGCAAAGCCAGGAATAGCATTCTGGGAGCCTGACTCAGCCCCACCTTCTCGCTTCTGACTTAGGAGAACATTTTCAGTTTCCCAGTCTGCCCCTCACGGGGAGATGTTGAGTAGACATCTGGCCAACGCTGATCTGAGTGGGGATTCACACATCATCAAAAACCATTATACAACAAAAAAAGAATTGCTGTTGCTGTCCAGAACATGTTTGGGATCCAGGGTGCGGTACGCACTTCTTAAGTGTGGCCCCCACCAAACTGTTGTCTCCATAGGGACAGAGACAGCAAAGAAACCAACTTGGTCTCCAACTTAAGAATCTTTAGTCTCCAGCCCAAATTCCTCTCATGACTAACTTCCCCTGACAGATTTTACAATGGCTTTTCTCCCATGTCAGTCCTTTGGGAGTCATAACCAACATGGATGTTCATTTGCTCATTGGTTAAGGTTCATGACTTACCCAGGGCGGAGGAAGGTTTGTATGTAGCCATGTATTTCTGTCTCTCCCTTGGGCTCAGCGAACCCTGACCGTTACTTGGCTCTTTGATTGATCACGCCATCGACGCTCATTAACCTCTGAAATCACACCTGTTTGCCCACTAACTTTGCTCTTGAACATGGTTGTGGCCCATATTTATTCAGTCGATCTTCTAAAACTGCCATCCTACCCAACTTTTTCTTGTTAGCTTTGACCGTCCTTGCTCACCGCAGTCGCTCCTGCTCCAGTTCTGTCCGGAGCTTCTTGTCACCCCGTAAAGCTGCTGGGCAGGTCTAAGCACATCGCCAAGTCCGCCTCCCAGGGGAGCGCTGGCCCACAAACACACCTCCCTCTGCCTCTCTCTGGGCAACAGACAGATGCCTTGGGTAACGTCCCATAGAGCACAGACATCACTTATCTGGTTATTTCTTGGAGAGCCAGCAGATAGTTGATGTGTTTAGTCTAGAGAAATATTTTTAGCCCAGCTGTCACCAAGTGACCATTGTGCCCATGACATATTTTCCTGGTTCCCGCTCACTAATTAATGCCCTAAAAATCGTGGAGGAAACTAAGGAAGGAAAACACTTGAGCCTGAAGGGCTGCAACTGCCCTCTGGCAGCGTGTAAACTGCCTTCCTCTTTGTCGCTGTCGTGGGCTTTGTTGTTTGACTCTGGTATATTTTCGAAATTCCAGACTATGCACTTTAGTGTAGTTACTTTTCTCTTTGTTGTGGCAAAACACACGACCTAAGCAGCTCAAGGAAGAAAGTATCTGCTTTAGCGCGCAGCTGCAGAGGAACCATCCATCTTTACTGGGGGAGGGTTTGGAGGTGTGCACAACACCGTGGCACACCATGGCAGCCGGGACAATGTAGAGCAGGAGAGAGAGGAGACTTGAGGGCAAGATACAGTCCCAGTGATGTTCTTCTTCCAGGGGGCCACGCCTCCTGCCCTTCTACATCTTCCAGTACCACCACTGTCACATGCGACTCCATCAGAGGGCCCTAAGATCCCATTGCCCCGGGCCTTCCCAGAAACACTCAGCTTTGCTTCACTAATCTCTCCAACAAGTTGACCATTAAGTTTAGCCATCTTGCGTACTAAATGTGACTGGGTAGGTAGACAAGGCAGATGGGAAAGTGTGAAAAACGCTGAATCGGAAGGAGAGAAGAAAGAAGGACAGACAGAGACTACCAGCACCAAGCACTTATTCCCTGATATAAGATATGCAAGCACTGTTCAGTTTGTCACTCAGGGAGTCGGGGTTTTACACCCACTCAGGAAGAAGCGAGGGCTGGGCAAGGCAATATGAGCAGGATTTAAGCCAGGATCTAGGCGATGGCAGGGTCCAGATTCAACTTACAATGACACGATGCCTCTAGCAGCTGTTGCCATTCAAATGGGAAGTAAAACATTGGCAGAAAGCAGTGAAGTAAGAGGGCCAGCCGGTCTGAGGCCACTGTGGCCCCATTCTGCTGGGGCTGGGGACTGGGGCATCTGCCTGGGACTGTTCGAAAGCTCCCAGGATGATCTTTATTTTGCTTTCTTAGCTTGCTTTCCTTCCTTCTGCAGAGAGTTTAGACCATTAGGAAGAGGTTCTGTGGGCCACCTTGGCTGTGTTTACATGACAACCAGAGGTTAGATGAAATGAAACGCATTTTAGGAAGGGGCCAGCTGATTTAGACTGTCAAGATTGGGGAGATTTTTCAACATACGCTAGCTCTAGTATGTGAACCTGATTTTTTTTTTTTCCATTGGGTTTTACCAAATCCTGTTGCGCCCCTAGGCTCCTCTGTGTCCCCACACTGCAGATGTGTCCTCTAATTGTGGCTGTTTATGCGCTCGAGGACAGCGCTCCAGTCGGGCTGATGGGATTTGTCTTTGTGCAACCATACGGCCTGTGTAGCTTTCCTGATTATCTACTGAGGTCGCAGACACCCCCAGGTGGGACAGATGAAACTGATTCTCACCGCTTCGCTGTCAGCTCTGTATTTTGCTCTGAGGTACCAAAATGGCTTTCTTGGTAGCACAGGGCGGGCAGGCCTGGACTTCCCGTTACCTTGCAGTGTGAGATTACAGGCATGTGCCTTCAGGTGAACCTTTAAACATTTTTAGCCATGCCCTCCTGACTTGGAAGAGCAAACCACCAGCAATTCTGGAAGGAGGTGAAGGAGGTGGTTTGATAAGGGGACTTCGGTGTCACGCCGGAAGTTGGGGAATGGGAGCCATGGTGGGAAGGAGGCGGTGCTCTGCACATTATCAAGCCTCCTGCCACCCCCTCTCCCTCCCCCTCCCAGCAAGCCAAGCTGCAGCAGCAGATGGACCTGCAGAAGAGCCACATCTTCCGCCTGACGCAAGGGCTGCAGGAGGCGCTGGACCGGGCCGATCTGCTGAAGACGGAAAGAAGTGATCTGGAATATCAGCTGGAAAACATTCAGGTAAGGGCCAGCAGGGGGCGCTGCGGACAGCTGTTGCTTCCTCTTCCTCCATCTTCCTTCCTTCCCCTTCTTCCTCCCTTCTCCCCCAAACCTCCATTCCCTGTCTCCTCCCCTTCCTTTTTTTTCCTCTCCTTTTTTACCCCCCTTTCTCCTCCTCCGTCCCTCTTCCCTTCTCCCCGCCCTCCTCCCCTCCCCCGCCCCTTTGCAGTTGTCAGTGTCCTTCATTTGTATGCTGCCTGTGTTTCTCTAACATTAAATTATGAAATTTTACAAACACTCTTTAAAGTTGAAACATCTCTCCAAAGTATCCTCAATCTGAATCCCATTAATCAACAGTTCGCATTTTTACTCTTCATATACTTATTGGTTGCTTATTTATTTGGGAGGTCTGGCATGGGATGTGTGTCTGAGGTCAGAACAACCTGTGGAAGTCAATTCTCTCTTTCTTCCATGTGGGTCCTAGGATCCAGTCAGATGCAGGGCATCTTTACCCACTGAGCCATCTTGCTGGCCCTGTGTGTTTTTTCTTCTTGCCGTAAGATTGGGGCTAAATATTTCCCACCAGTGTTTTCTAAATATTTCCCACCAGTGTTTTCTAAATATTTCCCACCAGTGTTTTCTAAATATTACCCACCAGTGTTTTTTTGTGTTGTGTTTTCCTGCTTGACTGTTCATGTTCTTAATGTACTGAATTCAAACATACACTTCTGTCCAGCTCTGAGGTCATCTTTGTCTCCATGAATTTCAGGTTCTCTATTCTCATGAAAAGGTGAAAATGGAAGGCACGATTTCTCAACAAACCAAACTCATTGATTTTTTGCAAGCTAAGATGGACCAACCGGCTAAGAAGAAAAAGGTGAGTTAGAGTGCTTGACAGTAGGAGCAGGCAGCCCTGCTTCATCCCCCGTGACTTTGTGGATGCACACCACTGTGATGAATAATCCTGCAAGTGGAAGAAAAACACACCTTTTTGTTCATTCTGGTTGGAGGATTGGGTCTTAATGTAACTGGAGTAGCCTTTGTCTTAGGGAGCTGTTGATCAGGACTAGCAAGTTGCTCTCCTAAGGGAGTGGTTTTTTTTGTTTTTTGTTTTTTTTTTGTTTTTTGCTCCTGTAGAGAAGTTAGGCCAGAGCATCTGCTGAGAAAACGGCTTCCGCATAGGTCGAATATTAGGTTCGAAGGTCATGTGTCTAGGACTCTCATGTGGGTCAGGTCATGTATAAGTGACTCCTGAGAGTTTAGCAGGTGGAATGTCAACCACACGGGTCTCCAGGGAGACTGAGTCCAGGGTTTTTGCTTAGTTTTATTCTTTGATCTTTTTCAAGATGGAATTTTGCCATGTAACTCAGGCTGGACCTAAACTCACAATGGTTTAATGTTCTGAGTGCTGGGATTTCAGGTGTGCCCTGCCATGCCTGCCTGTCCCGCGCTGTTAAATGACTGACTTGGTGCAGGAAGTTGAACCGACCTGGTTAAAACTCGATAGCTGTTGCCTTCACCGGCCCTGCACTCTCGGCTCTGAATTGTAACAAAGGAGAACCTGAATGAGAAGCCAGCCGTGACATTTGATGCTCCACCTCCTTCAGCCGCAGTCTGGGGGGGGGGGGGGGGGGCTGGAGCATGTGACGAGTCCAGTGTGAAGATTGCTCTTTATAAACAAGCCCAGTCCATGCCTCTCCCCAACAACTGAAGCGTTCATCTGAGGTTGGCCAAATGTTCTGACTTCCAGAAAGGTCTCTAGGGGCTTGGCAGTTTCCTCCCAAGGGTCTTAGCACACTGTAGTGGCCATGGCAGCAGTTTTAAAGGGAAGGGCTTCATGACTTAGATTAGTCAGAAGAAGGGAATGCAGGGCCAATGCCCTTGATTGGCCTCAGTGTTCCTGGGTCACTGTTACTGCTGAGGGGTGGGCACAGAGTTCCAAGACTGCCCCTTGCTACAGTGCTGGCACGGGAGGGTTTTCTTGCATACCATGGTACCATATTTGCTATGCTCATGATACTTAATCTTTTTTTTTTTTAATTTTAGCAGCGGACTGTTGTCTGGTTGTCATTGATGTAGTTAGGGCGTTTGCATTTGGTTTTCTTTCAGTTAATTTTTTGTCAGGTGGCGTAATTCTGGTTTTTTTTCCTCTTTTGTGTACAGTAAATGTTTCTGTTGGTATTTTTCTTTTTTAGTAAGCCCCTTGTTTTGATATCATTTTAGCATTCATTTTCAAATTTTGCTTTCTTTAAAAAAACAAAGCCCACCCCTTCCCCGTGTCTTGTCACCAAGCACCATGAGACAAGTTCAAAGGCAAGAACAACCTCTGAACCATAGCCACCGCTCCCAGCTCCATCCTCCATCCAACCTGATTGCATTTTTTGAGGGGAAAAGACTCTCGGGAAGTGACTCTCCTGTCTTGGGGATGCTAGAGGAAGCGGTGGAGGCAGCCGAAGCATCTTTAACCCTCTCGGTGAAAACTTCCGCACCCCACTCTTTTTTTTTTTCAGCGGACTGGAATGGGCTGAGGCTCGGCCTCCCCTTCCCCCTCCCCTTCACATGCCATTTCCCCCACACACACTTCCAGTGAGTATGTGCCTGGCCTCGGTGGCTTGCTCCTCCTGAGTCAGCTCTCCTTTAGCTTGGGTCCAGTGCCAGTTTCTAGGAGTTAGGAGATATCTCTGTTTCCATTGCTAGGGTTTATTTAGTCGACGGAAAGAGGACCCTGCTTTGCCCACACAGGTTCCTCTGCAGTACAATGAGCTGAAGCTGGCCCTGGAGAAGGAGAAGGCACGCTGCGCAGAGCTGGAGGAAGCCCTTCAGAAGACGCGCATCGAGCTCCGGTCTGCGCGGGAGGAAGGTAGGAGCTCTGGGACCCGGCCGAAGACCATTCCCCATGAGGCTGGCCAAGACCAGTTCAACATTTCTGTCTGTGGCCAGTGCGTTTTCACTCCAGACATGTCCCAAGTCTGAACATTTTGCAGCCTCCTCGGTGTCGCTGAGTTAGCACAACACCTGTCCTTTTGTTTTCTGGTCCTTGAAAGGCAGCCACGGGCAGCCTTCTTCGTCTAGTCTATTAGGTGGTCATGTCAACTGACAGGCTTTGTCCTGCTGTCTCTGCAGCTGCCCACCGCAAAGCCACAGACCACCCACACCCGTCTACGCCAGCCACTGCGAGACAGCAGATCGCCATGTCTGCCATCGTGCGGTCGCCCGAGCACCAGCCCAGTGCCATGAGCCTGCTCGCCCCGCCATCCAGCCGCCGAAAGGAGTCGTCCACTCCAGAGGGTAGGCTCTTGTCGCCGTCTCTTTTCTACCGTTGTAACAAAACATCGGAAACGGGGTAGGTTATAAAGAAAAGGAGTTTATTTGGCTGAGAAATCCAGGAGTGTGGTGCCAGCGTCTCGCAAGGGAATCTCGCTACACCTCAAGGTGGCAGAGGGAAGCGTGTGGCCAGACAGACCTAACCCAGGAACCCCAAGGCAGACACGAGAAGTCTGTCCTCAGGACCCCAGTGTAACACTGCTAACAGTCTCCTTCCCCATCCGTTACCCAGAACAGCTACTTTCAGTATTCAGCCCCATACCTGATATGAATATATCTCAAGAACACAGGTCAGCATGGTGGTACACACCTTTAATTCCAGCACCCAGGAGTCCGAGGCAGGCGGATCCCTGTGAGTTTCAGGCTATGACAGCGAACTAAGAAAGCTAACCTGTGTTTCTTAGGTCTGTTTAAAAATAAAATCTTATTGACCCTGTCCTGGACATTGCAGGCTGCTGCATTGTTTATCTTGTACATTAGTGCATTAGATCTGCTTCCCTCTGGCGAAGAACTGCACAGTGTTCCATGGTGTGCATAGACGAGTCCCCTACTAAAGGAGACCTGCTCTTGCGGCCACATGCCCCTTCTAGGACATCCTGTACCTCCAGGAGTGGCTGAGGGGTGAATTCTTAGGAAATGAATCAGTGGGGGAAAGACTGTGGGCACTTCAAATGTGACCAACTTGTGGCCAGTTGCTATGACCACTACAGTGATGTGGGAGTGATGTGGGGTAAAGGGATTTCTCTTTTTGTTTTGTTTGTTTTTTGTTTTGTTTTGCAAGACAGGGTTTCTCTTTGTAACAGCCCTGGCCATCCTGGAACTAGCTCTTGTAGACCAGGCTGGCTTCAAACTCACAGAGATCCGCCTGCCTCTGCCTCCTGAGTGCTGGGATTAAAGGTGTGTGCCACCACTTCCTGGCAGGGTAAAGGGTTTTCTTTGTGGTCTCAAAAGTACTGTGTCGCGCAGAGATGAAAAGGACGAGGAAAATGGTTTGGGGAGCAGAGTGGAGCTGTCGTTCAGTATCCTGGCTTCACCGTCAGGCTTTGTAGGCTGAGGATTTTGATGACATTGTCTTGTGGCTGTGGCCGTGCAGACCTGGGTGCCTTCCTGTCTCTGTATGTCCACTAGCAGGTGTCCTCCTGGTGTGTACTGCACCCTCCTGGTGTGTCCTGCAAGCGTTCCTCCTGGTGTGTACTGCCCCCTCCCGGTGTGTACTGCCCCCTCCTGGTGTGTACTGCCCCCTCCCGGTGTGTACTGCCCCCTCCTGGTGTGTCCTGCAAGCGTTCCTCCTGGTGTGTACTGCACCCTCCCGGTGTGTACTGCCCCCTCCCGGTGTGTACTGCGCCCTCCTGGTGTGTACTGCGCCCTCCTGGTGTGTACTGCACCCTCCGGGTAGCACTGTGCATTCGAGTTGCGCCTTGCCACTTCCCGAGAAAGGAGGGGGGCGGTGTGGTAAGGTGTGGTAAGGAGACCCCAGCAGAGCCGAGCTCAGGTGCCAGCAGAGCCGAGCTCAGGTGTCTTCTGAGCTTTTCTCCGTATGGACTATGGCCGTGCCTCTCACCAGGTCACTTACATGGGGGGTGGAGTGGGGTCAGCCTTGTTAATAGAAATGTAAGACTCGTTTCTCCAGACATAAAAAGTTCTAAACAAAAGGTCATTCATGAAATAACTGGGCATAAAAGAATTCTTCACTCAGTTCCTAATAACAAAAAGATCCTGCTGTTCATAACTCTGACTTTTAAACTGAGTTCCATGAAAAGCATTAGATACGTGCTTTCACGACTAAATATTTACAAATAATCCACAAACATTTTTAGGGCTGGGCTAGTGGTGATCACCTTTGCTTCCCGCATTCAGGAGGCAGAGGTAGGCAAATCTCTGTGCCTTTGAGGCCAACCTCGATTACATAATGAGTGAGGTCCAGGCCAGCCAGACACTGGCTGCATAATGAGACCCTGTATCAGACAACAATGATCCCCAGCCGTAAATGTTCACAGACTCGGGTGCCACCACACAGTCAGCCTTCTATCAGGAATATGTTCTTAAATTGAGTAACTATCAGGTCATCGAGGTCTTACTGACTCATATAAATCTAGATGCATCTGCGATGGCTACAATAATTTTACGATTCATGATTTAACAGCTTAATGAAGATAAAATTCACATGCTCTAAGAATCACCCATGTGAAATGTATAATTCAGTGGTTTTAGTATACTCACAGTGCTGCCCGATCATCGGCTCACTAACTTGAGGACGCCCCTGATGACCTCTGATCTCTGTCAGCAGTTATTCCTTATGTCTCCTCCCCCACCTCCACCAACCACTAATCTCCTTTATTTCTCTGTGGATTTACTTCTCTGGGTCTTTCAAATGAATGGGATCACACTGCTTGCAGCCCTTTGTGCCCGACTTATTTTCCAGAACACCATGTTTTTGAGCTCCACCCACCTTGTAGCACACATCAGCACCCCAGTTCTTTTCTTTCCGTGGCTAGATACTATCTCATTGTTTGGTTGGCGCATCTCGCCCATTACGTCACTGAGGGCTCTTGACTTAGTTCTGCTTTTGGCTGCCGTAAGTTGTGCTGCTGTGCAATATGCAATTGGGGGTGTGTGTATTTTCTATCCTCTCTGCATACAGCTAAGAGTGGAATTGCTAGATGATGTTTGTAGTGTATTCTGTGGGTAACTTTTTGAAGAAATGTCCAACTGGGTCCCAAAGTAGCTGTCCCATTTTCTGTTCCCACTGGGAAGTGCAAAGAACGCACATTCCTCCACATCCTCCAAACCTGGCTTTCCATTTCTCCTCCACATCCTCCAAACCTGGTTTTCCATTTCTCGAATTCTAGATTTTTCCATGACCCGGCACCTTGCTATGGTTTTAATTTGCATTTTTCCTAAAGCCTAATGATACCTTGACTATTTTCAGGTACTTTGGGGCTATTTTTCCTCTTTGGGGAACTATGTAGTCAAAGTACCTGGTTGTAAGAGCTCTAATAGATTCATATACAAACCCTAACCAGAGACTGTTTCTCCCATCCTTTGGATTCTCTTTCCACTTTCAATTAAAAATTTTTTCCCTTCAGAATATAATCGGCGTCTTAAGGAACGTATGCACCACAACATTCCTCACCGATTCAACGTGGGACTGAACATGCGAGCCACCAAGTGTGCTGTGTGTCTGGATACTGTGCACTTCGGACGTCAGGCATCCAAATGTCTCGGTAAGCACAGCAGCCATGCGTCTGTGCCGGGCACCTGCGTGTCTCCATCTGTAGAATCTGTCAGGTGAAGGCGATGTTTTAAATTGTCATGTAATGCATTCAGAACCAAAGCTTTTCACTTCAGTGGGAGGACACTATTTTTTTTTCCCTTGTTAAAACAATGACTTCAAATGGTGGCTTCAGCTCATGACTTCCAAGCTGATATGTAAAATGCTTCCATCTTTGTTCATCTCTCTTCCCTTTGTGTCGGGCTGGTGTCTCCCCTCCTGGCGTGAACTGAACATGCAAACATGTTTGTATACACAGCTCATCGTGGGCAGCCTAGACCGAGGCCAGGACAGCGGGGTTGAGGGCAGCAGCTGCTTCCCTGGCACCCGGGAAAGCACAGGGATTACTTGTGCGGCTCAGCTCCACCTGCAGTCGTTCTAGGGGTGGAGGAGCGCGTGGCCCGCGGAGAGCGCATCAGACTGTCCCTTGTTCTCTTCTAGAATGCCAGCTCATGTGCCATCCCAAGTGCTCCACCTGCTTGCCAGCTACCTGTGGCCTGCCTGCTGAGTACGCCACACACTTCACCGAGGCCTTCTGCCGTGACAAAATGAACTCCCCGGGTCTCCAGAGCAAGGAGCCCAGCAGCAGCTTGCACCTGGAGGGGTGGATGAAAGTGCCCAGGTACCATTGTAGGGTGGCCTGGACTCAGGCAGGTGCTGGCCCTGAGGGCCCACATTTGCTCCCACTCTCCGTCTCTTCTAGGGAAGTGTGTTTGAGGAAGCCCCTCCACCTTGCTTCCGCTTGCCCATCTTTCTTTTCCCAGGAATAACAAACGAGGACAGCAAGGCTGGGACAGGAAATACATTGTCTTGGAGGGGTCAAAAGTCCTCATCTATGACAATGAAGCCAGAGAAGGTAAATTAATGATTAAGGGGGAAGTCATTGCACGCGGTTAACCCAGGTCTTCCAGTGTTGGCGTGAAGGCTTTGTTTTTAGTTTTTGGTTTTATTTATTTATTGTTATTATTTTTTTTGGACTGCCTCACAAGCCTTCTCTACTTTCCATTTTTCAAATTAAAAGCCAGATGACTTCTCTAAAGGTTATTGGTGCGATACTCAATCTATAGGTCTCCCCCTTGAAGAACCCGCAGGGTGCTGCCCTGAAGATTCCACCTGCTAACACACCAGAGAACTTCCGCCTCAGTCAACTAGCCCATAAATCTGCATCGTCATCACAAAGTTGACTGTGCCCCTCATCTGACACACTTTATTTTTTTTATCTTCCCTCTCTGCCTTGTCTGCACCTCATTCCTTCTTTGTCCTTGTGCAACTCTTTCCTTGCTTCTCCTTCTCTTCTGCTCGCTCCTGTTCTGCTCTCTTCTCTGCTTTGCCCCCTCTCCTCTCCTCCCCTCGCCTCTCCTCCCCTCCCCTCGCCTTTCCTCTCCTCTCCTCTGCTCTCCTCCCCTTGCCTCTCCTTGCCTCTCCTTGCCTCTGCTCTCCTCCCTTCCCATCCCCTCCTTTCTCTTCTCTTGTCTTCCTCTCCCTTTTCTCTCTCTCCTCATCTCTCTTCTCTCGTTCTTGGTCCTGTTCTTTTGTTTTTCTTTCCACCCTTCTTTGCATCAAGCTGGACAGAGGCCGGTGGAAGAATTTGAGCTGTGCCTTCCTGATGGGGACGTATCTATTCATGGTGCCGTTGGTGCTTCTGAACTTGCAAATACAGCCAAAGCAGGTGAGTGGGATCCAGAGGAGCCCTGCCCAAGAGGTGGACTGGGTTTGACAAATGGAGAGGGGCAGGATAGAGATGTGGCAGTTTGCTCTGCCAAGACCTCTGTCTAGTCCCCCATCTTAGCAGGAACTCGAGTCCCAGGGCTTGGTGGGATTCGGATGCCATGACATTATCCCTGCTGGAGAGGACAGGGGAGGCATCCACGACCAATCCTGTGCTCTCTGGAATCTTCTAGATGTCCCATACATACTGAAGATGGAGTCTCACCCACATACCACTTGCTGGCCTGGAAGAACCCTGTACTTGCTAGCACCCAGCTTCCCCGAGAAGCAGCGCTGGGTCACCGCCTTAGAGTCTGTCGTCGCGGGTGGCAGAGTTTCTAGGGAAAAGGCAGAAGCCGATGCTGTGAGTATGCCCGTGACCGTGAGAGAGTGTGTGGCTGTGGGCAGTGACTGGAGTAATGGGGATCCCACTGCCTGACTGGGTTTCCTGACTCCTTCTGAGGACCACTGGCTACAGCTAGGGTGGTAACCAGGTTTGTTGTGTTGAAGGTGCAGGCTGTAGGCAGCGGTGGGATATTTCTGCATCTCCCTCAGCAGCCCTGCAGCGCAGGGGGGAAGCTGTGGAGTCTGCCTGGAATAGCCTTCCTGTTTACTCAGTGAGGTCCTTGAGTTGGGAGCCAGTGAGCACCTGCACTCCAGGAAGCTAGCTGTTTGTGGCCTCCTCAGCTGCCTCTGCAGCATCCGCTCTCCCACTTACCCTTAAGACACTGGAAGCATCCCTGTGCTCTGATTGGCATCACTCCTCCTGGATGCACACAGTGCTCGCTGCTCATTGGTGCGTCCTCCACCGAGGACCAAACAGCACTCTGCAGACACTTAGCAGTGGGAACGTTCTTCTCCGTGAGCCTCCTGAAGAGGCGTGTTTAGATGAAGTGTGTCTCTTTCCACTCATGAGCCTTTTGCTGAAATGTACATTAATATGTGTACAATAGGCCCGTGGCTGTACTTCCTGTGAGCGGCGGCCTGTGTGGGCTGAGGTAATGCGGGCTAGAAGCTTGCCTTGCTACGGAAGCCCCTGCTTGGGTTCTTGTTGCAGCTGAGGTGGGGAAGGGGCCTTCCTAACAGCTCGGTAGCTTCATCTTATTTCCCATCGCAGAACAGCTTTCTGTGCCTGCATCACCCACTCCTGTGTGTCTGCATAGTGTTGTGACTCTGAAGCTAATTAACAGCTGCCCTGGAAAAACCAACAAAACCATTCTGCCTCTGGGGCTTCAGTCAAAAGATGGGGCCAGAGCTCGGGGTTGTGGCTCAGCTGTCGAGTACTTGGCCTGGCACGTGTGAAGCTCTGGTCCAGCGGGTGCTGCTGAGCTTGACTTTAAATTTCCGTCTCTGGATAGTTTGGTTGTAGACAGTTCTTACTCCTCTGTCTCCTCTTTTCTATTTTCCCCTCACATATGGACAGAAATTACTTGGAAACTCTCTGCTGAAGCTGGAAGGTGATGACCGACTTGACATGAACTGCACCCTGCCCTTCAGCGACCAGGTACGTTGCCCAGGCCATGTCCCAGTGACTGGCCATAGTCACACACCGTCAGGATGCATGGGGAGGGGGTTGGCTTTGCTGCTGCTAAGCACAGCGATTATATCTGTGGTCACATGACTTATACTCTGTCTCTGGACTTCACCCTGGCAGGTGGTGCTGGTGGGCACCGAGGAAGGGCTCTATGCACTAAATGTCTTGAAAAACTCCTTAACTCACATCCCAGGAATTGGAGCAGTCTTCCAAATTTACATCATCAAGGACCTGGAGAAGCTGCTCATGATAGCAGGTAGGTGGCCTGGTCACAGCCTCTCTGACTTAGAGAGCTGCCTTTCAACCTGGAGATATGCAGTGGACTGGGTCAGCAGTGCCCCTCTTCCGTGTGACTCTGTTAATGCCAGGCCTCGGCTGATGAGCCCTTTGCCCACATTTGGTTCCCCGTCAGTGTCCAGTTTAGCACAGTCTGGCACTCTCAAGGAACGCTGTGCCACTCTGCCCAGTGGAGGATGCTGAATTAGTTTAATTGCTGTCGTGAGGTACCTGAGACCAGGCAACTGATGAAGAAAAGAGGTTTGTTTACCTCCCAGCTCTGGAGGTTCAGAAGTCCAAACGGCATTGTGCCGGTGCAAACTTCTCCTTGGCTGCATCATCTCATCCAGCTAGCGTGGCAGGGGCATGCTGGGAATCGGTAGGCGATCACCATACAGGAGCACTGGGTCGGGCTAGACTTGCTTCTTTACCAGATCTCTCACGGACTCCGGGGAGCTGCCTTCTGAAACCCAAGACCTCCCTTGGACGCTGGACCTACCTGATTAATTTTATGTGTGTGTTTGCCCACATGTATGTAGGTGCACCCTGTGAGTGCAGTGCCCATGGCCTCAAAGTCTGCTTGAAGTCCAACTTTGTTGTTCTTTTTTAGATAGGGTCTCAGGAAGCCCAGGCTGACCTTGGACTCCCATCCTCTCTTTCCCAAGCAGAGGAATTCTGGGAATATTTCATTACGCTGGCCCGCAGGCCCTTTGTTGTAGTTGCCTCTCCCCGCTGTGGACCATTCCCTCCCGAGAGCTTGCCTCCTGCGCATGATCGTGACGTGGCTACTTATGTTTATGAACGCTCAAGCCCGTCCTCTGGGTTCAGCCAACACATTTCACACCTCTTTCCCTCTCTGCATATTTTACCATTTGAGCTAATGTAGGAATGTCCCCACAAACTTGTCTGCATGTGAACCCGTGGGCCGGGGCCATCCTGTCACACGTCAGTGCAGCATCTTTTATTTTGTTAACTTCATTACTTGTTGACAGGAGTTTTGTTTGTTTGTTTATTATTTTAATTTTTGACATGGGTAGTGGGGTGTGGTAGTGTATGTCTTTAATCCCAGCTCTTGGGAGGCAAAGGTACCGCAGCCTGATCCAGAGATAGCCAGGATACTCAGAGCAACCTTGCTTTTAAATTTTGTTTGTTTGTTTCCAAGACAGGGTCACACTGTGTACCTCTGGCTGTCCTGGAACTTAACAGGCTGGCCTCGAACTCAGAGATCCGCCTGCCTCTGCCTCCCAAATGCTGGGATTAAAGGCATGCTTTGCCACCACTACCTGGTTTAAACCTTGTCTTTAAAGAAAAAGTTGAGCTAGGTATCTCAGGCTGACCTTGAATTTTTTAGAGTTACCTTGAAATTCCAGTCCTCCTGCCTCCACCTCCTGAGGGCTGGGGCAGTGCCGTGGCCACCACCACCACGTAGTGATTGGTTTTCGCTGCTCCCTTTGTCTCTCACAATATGGACCCCCTCATGGTTCCCTAACACATCCTTTCTTCCATGTTCTCGGAGATTGCTCAAAATTCAGCCAACATTCTTGCTGTTTCATGCCTGCAAAAATTTCCCTATTCCCCAAGAAGCTGAACCGAGAAAATCAGCTGCTTTCATTTCCGCTCTAAAGCCTGGCTGATGATGAACATGTCGGTGATGAACTGGTCAAGTGTGTTCCTTATCTGAACATCCAGAAATGTTCCTCTGTCTGAATCTTTGGGTGTCACCATGGTGTCACCGATGGAAAAATCCCTACTTATCACGTTTGATTGGTCTCAGACAAAATTCAGGACAACACCTCCCTCCCCCACCACACACACTACTGAATAAAGTTGACTTTAGGTTCTAAGAGGGCTATGGCACATAGCAGAATTTTGTATGTAGAGTTGGACCCTATCCCCAAGGTATTTCGTTATATACAGATATTCCAAAGTCAGAAGCCCCTTCTGCCCCACTCATCTTGGATAAAGGGCACTCCCTAGCTTCTCCACGGAGCTCCTATGCTTTCTGGTCGTGGGTACTCAAGTTGTCTTTGGTGGCATTTATGGCCTCCTCCTGACCACAGCTCTTGCTTTCTGTAGGGGAAGAGCGGGCCCTCTGTCTGGTAGACGTGAAGAAGGTAAAGCAGTCCTTGGCACAGTCGCACCTTCCCGCCCAGCCCGACATCTCCCCCAGTGTGTTTGAAGCCGTCAAAGGCTGCCACTTGTTTGCCGCTGGCAAGGTAAACTCCCCTCACGGTCTTTGCTGATGGAATGTTCTGAAAACCAACCCTGCTCCTCTTCCCACCAAAATTACTGAGTCAGCCTTGAACATTGGTTTTCAGCACGTGCACCAAGAGCGCTTGGCGTCCTTTTGGTAGTGAAATAATTTGGGTGGATGCAAAGTTTGCTCAGGCTTCGAATCTGAAGGAAATGTCTGAGGAGCAGGAAACAAATGGCGGAACTCAGGGTTCTAGAGTACATAACTATACACCGAGCCTCTTGAAAAGGACAATGCAGGGACCAGTGCACTCAGGAGGCAGAGGCAGGCAGGACTCAGAGTTCAAGGCCAGCCTGGTCTACATAGCAAGCTTCAGGCCTGCTAAGGTGTATAGTGAGTCCCTGTCTCAAAATAAAACACAAACAACTTGGGGATAAAAAAGCAATACAATATGAAACCTATGTCTAAACTAAATGAAAGTGTGCTTATTACTAGAAACGTACAAAATCTAATTTAAGATATTTATTTGGCAGTCCCTCGGTGCCTGCCAGGGATGGGTTCTGGAACTACCACTTGCAATATAGCAAAATGCAAAAATGTTCCAGTCCTCTCTGCTGAGCACAATGATGGGGTCTCGTACTTTCTTCCCAGCCTCTGTCATCCATAGAAGGCCTCACTAGCTTTGGCTGGCCTGGGCCTTGCTATAGAATGGATTCTCTCATTTCGCCTCCATGCAGGGTCCCAGGGATGGAACTCAGGTCACCAGACTTGCGCAGCAAATGCTCTCATCTGCTGAGTCGTCCTGCAGATCCCATAGCTTTCATTTCGATTCTGTTCCTCCCTTTCTTTGGGGGTTGGTGGTGTTGCTTTGAAATCCAATCTCATACTATAGTTCAGGATGGCCTCAAACTCATGGCAATACTCCTGCCCCAGCCTTTGAAATACCAACGATGTGGGCATGAGTGGCCATGCTCAGCAATTTTATTTATCTTCGAAGAGGTACAACTTTGGGCTGACAAAGGCGGCTCAGCTACACAAGCCTGACGATCCAATATTGATCCCTGGAACCCATGTGAAAAGCTGGATGGTGGATTCCCTAGAGCCGGGGAGAGTCCTCTCCTTGAGTTAGCCTTCCCCAGTTACATACTCTAGCACTTCCCAAGACACACCCCACCCCACCATGCTGGTACCTTGAACAGTTAGGGCAGAATTACACACAAATGGCCAGGAGTGGTGGAGTCCCACGCCAGGGTTCCGTGACTCTCCTCGTCCCCTCGCCTGCAGGTTAGTGTTTGCAAGCAGGCACAGCTGATTTAATGAACTTTGTGGCTCTTTTGCTCAGAGTGCAGGGTGGGAAAGTTGTCCTCTGACCTGCGTCCATACAGCATGGCATGCGCATAGACGTGTATTGTACATGTGTGTACATATTTACACACACACTATGGGTGCACATGCACACTTACACTGTAGCAGCAGTTTTATGGAGATGAAATTTCATTTAACATTTTTTTTATTTTATATCATGTATGTGAGTATTTTGCTGGCATGAATGTCTGTGCACCACATGCCTGGTACCCATGAAGGCCAGTCGTGAGCTCCCATGAGGCTGTGGGGAACTGCATCCTGGTCCTGTGCAGGAGCAGCCCGCACCTTCGCAGCAACATCAGCTCCCAGCATCACCTTTAGACTTTGTCTGTCACGGCATATTTTTTTATTTATCATTATCTTTTGCCTTTGTCCGTTTTCTTCTTTCATTTAATTTCCCCTGACTTTTTCCTATTCCAGGTTCTTAGTTCGCTGGATTTCATAGCATTTCCTAATACCAGCGCTTCAGACTGCTGTTGTAGCTGTACCTTGTAACTTTGATGTGGGCATTTATTTTTGATTACATTCCCATATATTTTAAATATTGTTCCTATGAACAATGAGTTACTTAGAAATGTACATGCTAATTTCCAAAAATACCTTTTAAAAACTATAAATCACTTTTATTTTATTGTTCAAAATATTAAAACCCATTTGAAATGTGCATATAGATTTTAAAGCCTCATAATGCACTGTATACAGCCTCCCAGAACAGCAGTATGAATAATTTACATTTTTCCTCTCTGTTCCTTCAACTGCTGACCGTCAGTTGATGGTTGTGTGTGCAATGGATGTCTTTTCACTCTTGGCGAAAGAGGTAGAAACATCTTGATATAGAAGGCCGTACTACAGACCCTACCGAAACCTTGTCCCTCTAGACGCAAAGAGTATTCCTTATTTGCTTGTGTCTGTGACCAAATCCCCAACCAGGAGACTTACAGACGGACGGATTTCCCATGGTAGTCAGTCCCTCACTGCAGGGGAGGCGTGGCATCCAGAACTCACACCAGTGTGGATCAGAAGGCCTGAGACGCTGGCATCCTTCAGGCTTCCTCCTTCCTGCCCTTCCTGTAATGGTTATTGTTAGTAGTTAACTTGACATAGGAACAAAGCACACATGCATTCTGAGCGCTAGCGCGCATGCGTTCTAGCGCATGCACCTGTCTCTCGCGCCTTCCACCTCTTCAGCTAGCCACAGGTTGCCCCAGGGCGAGCCCTGTCTCCCTTGCCTTGTTATTTATGTCAGAGGATTTTGTCACAGGGACAGAAAAGAAGCTGTGCCTCTGCTAACCCGCCCGGGAAAGGCTCTGCTAACCCTGCCCAAGGTGCACGTCCTCTGTGATTCCAAATCAAGTTGACAGTGGAGATGAACCACGTGACAAAGCTGTTTACAACCTGCTCCCTACCTTCCTCACGTCACCCTGTCCTCTCCCATTCAGGGCAATGTCAAAAAGTCCATCTCCACCCAAGGCACAAATATATGAACTGTGAGGTGTCATGTGGCCGCTAGACCATCTCTGGATCCCAGCTAAGGCAGTGAGTCCCAGGCAGGGGTGATTCAGTCCTCAGGGGACATTTGTAATGTCTGTAGACAGTTTTGATTGTTACAACTAGAGGGTGCTATAGACATCTGATGACCGAGGCCATGATACCCCCATTACGCCAGTGTACAGACCATCCTAGGCCTCCATCACATCCCCAGTGCTGTGAGACCAAGACTCTGCTCCAGTCACACCCCTTCTCTAGGTTTATGCAGAGCTCCGATTCATCCGATTCATGCTAGTGACGCGTTCTCTTTCTTGTGCTCCCCCCCATGGCCTTCTAGATCGAGAATAGCCTCTGCATCTGTGCCGCCATGCCGAGCAAAGTCGTTATCCTCCGCTACAATGACAGCCTCAGCAAGTACTGCATCCGGAAGGCAAGCTAACGGCCCAGCTTCCCCACCCCCAGGGCCAGCACACGGGCCCCAGCCAGGGTCGTGCACACAGCGGGCTGTGTTGACTCTCTGCTGCCCAGAGCATGGCCCTGTCCTTCCTGGAAGAGCCAGAGCCTGTGGTAACCAAGAGAGTGACCCTCTCGCTTTCCTTCTCCTGTTGAGGATCTGGAGGTGGATGGAGGAGGCGTCTTTTTTGAGCTGACAGAAGCAGCTTTGTCTTGGTTAGCAGTCCCCAGCAGCATCCGCCTCATCTCCCTCAGTGTTCAAAGGTCTCTGGGGATAAGGGACAGCCATCGCTGGCTCTGTTTGATTCTCCTCAGGACAGAGTGCTGTGTGGAGGAGAAGCATTCTGACCTTTAAGTTAACCTCACATCTGGAGAAGGTGTTTTCTGGCCCCAGACTAAGTGTGCTGTGGCTCATGCCTGGTCACATCACGATAATACTCAGAGCATAAAAAGATATGAGTTGCCGGGCGTTGGTGGCGCACGCCTTTAATCCCAGCACTCGGGAGGCAGAGGCAGGCGGATCTCTGTGAGTTCGAGACCAGCCTGGTCTACAGAACTAGTTCCAGGACAGGCTCCAAAGCCGCAGAGAAACCCTGTCTCGAAAAACCAAAAAAAAAAAAAAAGATATGAGTTATGTGTGTAGGTGGTTGTTAGTGAAACAGGCTCATGGTAGGCTTGTCAGCCAGTGTTTGCTGACCGCCTGTGTAGCCTGTGCATTGGGGATGGAGCTGGCTACCTCAGTGTTTTCTGATTGGTAAGTGAGAAATTAAGACTGGGAAAGAGAAAAACCTTTGGTTTTCCTACCCTCTCCTGGTAGGGTCCTGCGTCTGTTCCCTCACGCTTGGCAGGGAGCCGATGGATACGTTTTCCATGATGGTGATGATTAAAGTTTGAACTGCTGGCTTCAGGCAAACTTGATTCTGGGCCATCGCTTTAAGAAAGCATGCCGGTTACGTTTTGTTTTGTCTTAATGATATTTGGATTGGCCAAATGCAGGGATACTCTATGGATAATACAGACTCAAATTAGAAACCAGCAAATTACAAACTAGCCCAAAGGAGGACGCCGAGGCCAGGCATCCCTGCTGCCAGTGTTCATCGTTGGAGGGGCGTTCCAGTCTTCTGCTCCTGGAAGAACGTTTTGTTGGTGTTTTGCCTGTCTGTGGAAATGGTGTCTCACCCGTTTGGGACTTGCAGTTCCCCCTTGTTTTCTGAGGCTGCCTGGGCCTGGTATAGAGCAACAGTTATTAGGTAGAAGCAGGTTGCATGTCATCTTGGCAGGCATAGATGGGAGGCTAGAGGCTCAGGCAGAAACAGCCATGGAGAGGAGGTGTCCTGTGTCATCTCTGTCCCTCTGTGCCCCTCATCTCAGGAGATAGAGACCTCCGAACCCTGCAGCTGTATCCACTTCACCAATTACAGTATCCTCATTGGAACCAACAAATTCTATGAGATCGACATGAAGCAGTACACGCTCGAGGGTAGGGCCGCGTGTGGTCTTCCTCCCCACCCCACAGGGCTCGGGCCTCGAGGAGGGAGGCGTGGGCACCGTTCCTGAAGCCCCATCTCACCTGCCTTCACAGAGTTCCTGGACAAGAATGACCACTCTTTGGCGCCTGCTGTGTTCGCATCCTCATCCAACAGCTTCCCCGTGTCCATCGTGCAGGCGAATGGCGCCGGGCAGCGGGAGGAGTACCTGCTTTGCTTCCATGGTCAGTCCCCAGCCTGGGCCCCTGCGGTTCCCTTGGTCGGCAGGGTGGGTCCTGCCAAGGGGCAGAGGATGTTTGCCCAGCGACATGGAAGCCCTTGGTGGCTCCCCCTCCCTTTCATCTTTTTGTCACCTTCTTCCTCTGGTTTGGTTTTTGCTACTTTTTCTCTTGATACTTGTTTTCTTTTAAGTTTTTCTTCTTTTTTAATCACTGGGTGTTTCTTTCCCCTTTCCTGTCTCTGACTTTCTTCCTCTTCTGTCTCCTGTCTGTCTGTCCATCCATCTTCCTTCTTCCCTCTCCCCCTTTTCTTCCCACTTCCTTCCTCCCCTTTGCCTTAGTCCTCTTGCTAGAATAAATTTGATTGATGAGATAACTTTACTTAAGAAAATCCTCATTTTAATTTAACTGAGGCAGTGGTTCTGCAGAAGCCGGCTGGCTATAACAGTCCGGTTAAATCTGGTCAGTTGTCCCTGGGGTTTGTTCCTTGTTCTTCTGTCATAGCATATGTGGCCTCTGGAGCTAACACCTTAAATGTTCTTGACACCTTACAGAATTTGGGGTGTTTGTGGATTCTTATGGAAGGCGTAGCCGCACAGATGATCTCAAGTGGAGCCGCTTACCTCTGGCCTTTGGTACGTGAGGTACCAGGTTGGGGTGCGGGGCTCCTATTTGCTGAACCATGTCCTAGGAAAGAGCTGTGTGGAATTCTTGGCTTCGGTCTGCTGCTAGAGTATTCTAATGGACTTAAGTGGCGTGGATGGTATTTGCCTAATGTGTCTGTGGAAAATGTGTAAGTCAGGTCTCCCAGGCTGAATTCAGCCTGTGAAATGTTTACGATCTCAGGATACAAAAGAGAATATTCCCTGTGGATGAGAAGTCATTCTCAAGGCTGTGCAGTGCCCCTGAGTTGAACACACATTAGTTAATTCTGACTAGGCAGAGCAATGAGGTCACGTGCATTCATTCTGTAAGAAGAAACACTGTGGTGAGCATCCTTGAACTGACACTGAACATACAGGTTGTATCCTTGGGTTGTAAGTGTCTAATTGTAGAGTGGATCCAAGAACAAACACACAAACATGCAGGTCCATAAGACAAGACCATGTGGATATTCTACAGCACCATCATGCTGTAGAAAGGACACACACACACACACACACACACACACACACACACACACAGACATACAAGGTAAATAAATGTTAACCCATTCTGAAACTTGGTGGCTTATAGCAACATGCACATTACCCATGACTCTGGGTCAGCTCAGCTCTGCCCCTCATGATGTCAGTGGTTTCCGGAACAAAGTACAAAAACAGCCTCAAAAACAAAGAGAAACAAGGTTGCTTTTCTTGCTTTTCTTTTTGCTGGCCAAGGGGATGGGGGTCACTCACTCTGCTAGAGACTATTGTTCCCCTCTATGTAGGTTCTTCAAAGAGTATAAGCAAAAGTGTCATGGCTTGTCACAGGATCAGCAGTGAGGACCAGCTTTCCTCTCTGGGAGAGCAGGATCTGTCCTGCCCTCTCTAGTTTCAGTGACGCTATCACACAGAGACGAGTTTTACCACGTAGCTGGCATGGCGGCACACACAGGAGGGTCTGGAGTTCAAGGCCAGCCTGGGCTAGGTAGGGAGACTCTGTCTACAAAATGAAACAAATAGCCTGGCCGTGGTGGCACACGCCTTTAATCCCAGCACTTGGGAGGCAGAGGCAGGCGGATCTCTGTGAGTTCGAGACCAGCCTGGTCTACAGAGCTAGTTCCAGAACAGGCTCCAAAGCCACAGAGAAACCCTGTCTCGGAAAAAAATAAAAAATGAAGCAAATAATAACAATGACAAAAACCCACAGCAAAATCTAAATACCTATCTTATAAACTTGGAGGGGCTTGAGAGATGGCTTAGCAGTTAAGAGCACTGGCTGCTCTTCCAGAGGTCCCTGGATTGAGTTCCAGCTCCCACATGGAGGCTTATAATTGTCTGTAACTCTAGTTCCAGGGGACCTGACGCCCTCTACTGGCCTCTGAAAACATCATGCACAGACATACATGCAAGCAAAACATTCATATTTGGGGAAGGCAAGATCTTTAAAATCTTACCGAGTAATGGTGTAAACAGCTCCACAGGAGACATCTCACCCGTGTGTCCATCTCTATTGTCTCCATCTCGTTGCCCCAAAGGGAAGAACTTGGATGAGTTTATCGTCTTCCCAATGTTTTATCAAATACAGGCATCCGATTGACATCTCCCCGTCCTGAGTGGCGCGCTCCTGTATCCTGAAGTTGCCTTGGTTGGGCAGTACACTGTTGTAGGTGCAGGCCTTTCTGCTGTGTCTCTTACCTTGGGCAGAGCTTCCTAGGGGCACTGTAATTTACCTGACTAACTCCTGGGATAGAGTTGTTCCTGACGCTGTGGCTTGGCAGCGAATAAACCAAGCCCCTGCGATTATGCCATGTGGGGAAGTAGTCGTGGGGTACCGGCTTCCGGGCCACTGGTCTTTTTGCAAGTCTTGATTTTCCTTCTTCTATCTTCCCTCCCCCATCTTTGTTTTTGTTTTGTTTTGTTTTGTTTTTCTCACGCTCCTCCTCCATGGTGACCCTGCAGCCTACAGAGAACCTTATCTGTTTGTGACTCACTTCAACTCACTGGAAGTAATTGAGATCCAGGCACGTTCCTCCCTAGGGTAAGCATTTTCCTCCATGCTCTGAGGACAGGTTTAGAGGCAGGAATGCCGTGCAGCGATGGAGGTAAACAGTAATGATATCTCCTCTCCTGTAACCCTGCAGGACCCCTGCCCGAGCATATCTGGAAATCCCAAACCCGCGCTACCTGGGCCCTGCAATTTCCTCGGGCGCCATCTACCTGGCCTCCTCTTACCAGGACAAGTTGAGAGTCATATGCTGCAAGGGGAACCTGGTGAAGGAGACCGGCACTGACCAGCACCGGGTGCCCTCCACCTCCCGCAGGTACTGAGCCTCCCTCCCCAGGGCAGTGAAGAGCAGGGGGGGACATCAACCACACTTTAGCTCCTAAGCATCTCAGGTATTGTGAAGGACTCCCCGGTCACAGCGACAGGGGACTCCTGTGTGACCGGGGACTCCTGACGTCGCGCCAGGGTGTCTTCAGTGACTCTGCTGAGAACAGTTCACAACTTAGACTCTGTTGCTTTGGTGTGTGTGTCTCTGTCATGCTAGCTGCTGAGCCCCACAGAGATGTGTGGCCCCTCCTTCATGCTGCTCCAGCCCAGTGCGGTAGCAGGGCAACTAGAACCCGAGTTCTAGTCCTGATGGGCCTGCAGCCTAGACTTGGGACCAGGATGGACTTCCCCAAAGAAACAGCAAGGGAATGACATCAGGAGGGCAGGGAGGCAGGACATATAAGGGGCCATGGCTTCCTAGCCCCTCAAGGCTTCTGTGGAGCCTGAGAACTTTTTTTTGTTTTGTTTTGTTTTGTTTTTCGAGACAGGGTTTCTCTGTAGCTTTGGAGTTTGCCCTGGAACTTGCTCTATAGACCAAGCTGACCTCGAACTCACAGAGATCCTCCTGAGTTCTGGGATTAAAAGCGTGTGCCACTACCACCTGACTAGAGTTTAAATTTTATATTTTAAATTTGTATTTATTTTTGTGTTGGTAATCTAACCCAGGGTATAGGACTCAAAGAACACAAAAAGTATAAAGTAGTACAGTCTCCTGGGTTCCTTTTCTTTCCTGTGTTTAAGAAAAAATTAAATATTTATGTATTTATTTTTTTGAGACAAGGTCTTACTGTGTAGCCTTGGCTGGCCTGGAACTCAAGATAGATCAGGCTGGCCTCAAACTCATAGAGACCCATCCTCCTCTGCCTCCCAGCTGTGTTACTACACCCAGCTTGAATTTTTTTGTTCAACTTTTAGGTTATGTATATGAGTCTTTTGCCCACATATGTGTGTGTGTGGTACCTGGGAAGGCCAGAAGGGGGCGTTTGATCCTCTGGAACTGGAGTTACCGACATTTGTGACCTACTGTGTAGGTGTTAGGACTTGAACCCAGGTCCTCTGGAAGATCAGCCAGTGCTCTTAACCTCTCCACTCTAACCATCCTCCTCCTTGACTTCCGTGAAATTGCCACGCTGCCCTGAACTCCTGGTTCAAACAGTCCTCTTGCCTCAACCCTCAGGGAGCCAGACCTGGTTTCTTTTCTTGTTCTTTCCTTTCTCCTCCTCACTCCAGCACCACCCAGGAAGGAACCAATCTTATAACTTGTTGTGTTTCTATTTAGAGATCTCTCTGCATATATATGTGCACAGGCCCATGTTTGCTATGCCATAAAAACAATCCCACGTATTAGTTTGTTTTCTGGTTCTGTGACAGGATACATGGCGCTGGGTTAGGTGTAAAGAAGGCTCATGCTTCTGTTCTGAAGTCAAGGGCCCACATCTAGCAATGGCGCAGCTGTCAATGTCTTGAGGTTGTGCAGGGCATCACGTGGTACGAAACGGAACCACACGTGTGGATACCTTCTGTGTCCACCCTGCTTACTTGTCAAGACTCTGCCTCCACCCCTTGATAGCACAGATTCCATTTCAGCCCTCTTCATGTCTCACAGTGAGGACTAGAGCCCCCTCTGTGGTCACAGAGAACTCACATTGTGTTCCCAGCACCCACATTGGGGGCTCACAATTTCCTGTAACTCCAGCTCCAGGGGGTGGGAAGTAACCCTCAAACAGTCTAGGTCCCGCTGGGTTCTCTAATGAGATAACTGCTAGAGTGGCCCTTTAAAGCCTAACATCTTTGGAGATGTATCCAGTCTCTACCAGCATCTAAGTTTAGGACATTTTTATCACCCCCAAAGGAAGTTTGTCTTCCTCTGCTTCAGTGACTGCCGCAGGCACTTTCCACTTCCAGCGAGGGCTCCTGTTAAACGGCCCAGCAGGGTCCTTCCTCACGCTGGAGCCCCAGGCCCACTCCAGCACAGAGTTCTGAGTGCCTGTGGATCGTTTCAGGTCAGATATTGATCCTTTTCTGGAAACGGGCTTTGGGGTCACTTCAGACATTGCCCGACTGCAGAATCTTCGCAGTGGCTGTTTGGCTACAAGCCTGCTGGCTTCCACTCTATTGTGGATCTGAAGCGGGCCACGGGCACAGAGCATGCTGGATTGTCACCAAGCCATGCCGAGTTCAGTTGTCTTGCAAACATACTGTTGGATTGCTGCAAGCCAGTTTCGCAATGTGCTAGGTCAGCATGCTTGAGTGTGTACACATGCGTGCTTTCTTGGCAGGTCTGGGAATTGAACCCTGGGCCTGGCATACTGGCCACAGAGCCACCCTTGACCCCAGGCTTGGTCAGTGTGGTTTTAGTCAATCCAGGACTTGATGGAAAACCTGAGGTGGAAAATGACCTAGTTTGGTTCTGAGTCGTGTGAGGTTGGTTTTGCCAGTCTTTGTGTGCCTGCTCTTCGCTCTCATGGAGAAGTAGGACCTCAGAGGTTTTCAGTTCTCCATTCTAGCTTCCTTCCCTCCTCCTGACGGAAGGGGCTGTGTGTTCGTGTACACCTGTCCCTTGATGTCTTAGCAATGACTCCGGGGCAGTGCAGGGAGCGGCTTCTCCTCCTCTCCTGCTTAGCTGTTGTTCTGCTTATTTATTTAAATGCTCTTTGTCGTGGGTATGGAGAGATAGCTCAGTGGTTAAGAGCGCTGACTGCTCTTCCAGAGGACCTGGGTTCAAGTCCTAGCATGCACATGGCAGCTCACAACTGTCTGTAACTCCAAGATCTGACATCCTCACAAGGACATCCATGTAATATAGCAAAATACCAATGCAAATAAAATAAAAATAAATTTTAAAAAATGCTCTTGTCATAAACATCAGCAGCTCTCTGGGCTTCCAGTCTGCTACTGGAACTTCCAACCCTTTGAAAATCAAGGAATCTGTGGGCTACAGTACCAGAAAATCAGAATAGAATCCTCAGGCGCTGCTGAGTCTGCCTTCCTGGGCTGGACCCACTTGTAGCTCCATCAGCTGGGCATAGAAGTTGCCTCACTTTGGCCCAGAAGACTAGGAACCAGAGCCACATCATGTGTAAGAAGCTGGAGATTGCCAGGAAGTGGTGGCACATACCTTTAATTCCAGCACTCAGGAAACAGAGGCAAGCTGATCTCTGGGAGTTCGAGGCCAGCCTGATTTACAAAGCGAGTGTCAGGACAGCCAGGACTGTTTCACAGAAAAACCCTGTCTTGAAAAACAAAAAAAAAAAAAAAAAAAAAAAAAAAGAAGAAGAAGAAGAAGCTGGAGATGTTGGCCCACAAACTCTGAGAGTCAGCCCAGGGGACTATTTCATTGACCTATGGTTTTACTTCTCTGGACAGTTCTACCTGTACACAGCTGTGAGGATCCCCTGCCAGGTGCCAGGCATCCCATCCAGGGCTCCGGAGAGCAATGCTGAGGGCGCTTTCTTTATTCCCCAAGGGCCTGTAATTAGGTGGGTGAACGCCAAGGGTTCCGAGACACGTTAGATGTTGTAAAAGACAGACACATCTTCAGTGTTCTGTGCTGTGCCGGACAAGCTGCCTCGTACTGACAGATAGGAGCTACCATTCTGAGATGTGGTCCTGGCCCCGCTGGTGCGGAAGCGACAGAGCACAGTGCACACTTTCCTGAGCCTCAGCGTGTCTTGCCGGTGGCCTTAATTCTTTGTCGGTGTGATTTTAATTGCAGGGGTGTGCTGTAAGAACAGTGTGCACTCCAGGCCAGCGTGTACCCCTAAAGTGTCTAGAATCTTGGTGTCACTTCCAAGTCATGCAGAAAGGGGTCCACGGGATCCACGTGTTGGGTTAGACTTCTCTGTGGTCTTGCACATTGCTCCTGACCCCTTGTGGTCCCGCGGTGAGGGCCTGCTTGTTCTGCTGTCCCGAAGGGCCCCAGTTGCTGTGAAATAGCAGTGTGGCTTCCCTGGGGGCTGCCAGCAAGTCCCACTCATAGCCCCAGTCAGATTTTCGCTACCGTTCTGCTTCTAGAATGGTCTTTTCGCTCCTGGCTGCTTTGGGTGGGTCGGTGTCTGTGACTGGCGTGGCTGGCTGGCATTCACAGCAGGCCCCATTTTCCTGGTTTGTTTAGCAGAGCAGGGACCGTCACTCTGCCGAAACTATAAATGACGCGGTTGCTCATGGGCCGTTCTGGATGTGGAGATGGAAGACTGACTGCCCCCTTGGCCTCAGATGATGAGAGCCCTTTCTCCTCTCATTAGTCTCAGCCGGTGCCCCGAATGTCTTCTCTGAGTCCCCGGGCACAGCACCCTCCTGTGCCATATGATGGGCCCCTGTGGACACATTCCAGAATTTCTCTTCCATTGTACACAGGCTTAATGTATTTCTCCCCCTCTTCTGTCTCTCAGAGCTCTGCAGCTCTCGAGCTGTGTGGAGACTTTGAGTTCCGGTGTACACATCAGGTCCCTTCCATTTAATACCATCGAGAAGTGGAGTGGGTGGGGCTGGCTTCAGAGTGTTTATCTGAATCACCAGGTAGCCTGCGTGGGAAAGCCAGGCCCTGGCATAAAGCTGTTGTTCATGGCCAGCTGACCACAAGATGACCTCTGTAAGCTGGCCTGGTTAGCTCTGCCTTCTTCCAGCCGGTAGTTTGGGCCACGGATCTGGTGAAAGCCGGATCTTATCCAGGCCAGGTGGGATTGGATTGATCCTACTGAAGGTCCCAGTATGGGGGGGGAGGGGTAGCTCCATAGTGGATAACGTGCCTGGCGTGCACAAGGCCTTGGCTTCAATTTTTAGTATCACCAAGGATAGTGGGGGGAAAGGCCTTGTGTTCTCAGTAGATTGGGGAGATCAGAGGTTGTTAATGGTTAAGCTCTGAGCCAGGGTGAACTAGCCAGACTGTCTCTGTCTGCTCTGCTTGGTTTCCTGATTTTATCAAGTGTCATCCCTGTGGAAATTGTAGACCTTCTGAGCAACTATATCAGGTGCCACAAAAACTTGGAAAGCCACCCTCAGGGAGAGGGAGAGGTGACCAGCACAGAGCACAAGGCTGTTATAGATCCAGCCCCTGATGGTGAAGGTGACAGTCTTCCTCAAGGCTGTCCTTGATGGGCCTCTGAGTCCTGCATTATGAGAGGCCCCGTTCCTAACAGGAGACTTCTGGCAACTATTCGATTGGTATGATCGAGTGTGGAGATCATGACTCCAGACTGACCTCTCTTGGGTGCTACCTCTCCCCTCCTGGCCTCTCCACCACCATGCACTTCCCTGTGCAGCGAGGGCTCTGCTCTCTCAAGCTTGTTTCCATTGGGTGGTGTTTGGAGACAGTGAGGCAAAGCGCAGAGGGCTTAGCTGAGGCGGGCACATGGCGAGTGCGCAGCAGGTGAGAACTGGCACCGACACCTGAAAGCTTGGGTTTCTTTTGTCCTTGTCCTCAGGTCTAAGCTTTCTTTTAACCCCAACCCTCAGGGGCTGAGGCAGGAGGATCATGACTTTGAAGCTAGCCTGAGCTTCATACTTTATAATGAGTTCTAGGCCAGCCAGAGCTACATAGGGAGACCCTGTCTCAAAACTAAACCAAACAGCCTGAACAGCAGTGAGAAGCTTGCTTAGATACTTAGAGGGGAAGGGAATTGCAGTTTGGGGCCACAGCTTCTCAGACCCCTGACTCTCTTATTGCCCCCAGCAGTCCCAACAAGCGAGGCCCACCAACATACAATGAGCACATCACCAAACGTGTGGCCTCCAGCCCAGCGCCACCAGAAGGCCCCAGCCACCCCCGAGAGCCAAGCACACCCCACCGCTACCGAGACCGAGAAGGCCGGGCAGAGCTGCGCAGGGACAAGTCCCCAGGCCGTCCCCTGGAGCGGGAGAAGTCCCCAGGCCGGATGCTCAGCACGAGGAGAGAGCGGTCCCCAGGGAGACTGTTTGAAGACAGCAGCAGGGGCCGGCTGCCTGCGGGAGCCGTGAGGACCCCACTGTCCCAGGTTAACAAGGTGAGGCAGTGTCCCGAGGGCTGCACAGCTCTCTTGTGGCCAGAAGCTGCCTGTTGGCTGCTGTTGTGAAAGTGAGACTCCATGACTGTGGCTCAGGCTGTGGGAAGTAAAAGCTTAAGAAAATATTATTTATAATATTTATTGAAGGTACTTCCACCACAAATGACAACATGTGTGATTAGGGGAAGGGGGTGTGCACACCTCAAAATGTAACAGCTACCAAAGGGTAGGTTGTTCCCTGCCCAAGAGGCAGTACTAGTGGCTTCTAGGTCTATTCCGTGCACACAAACAAATATGTGTGTGGCCCCTGTAAGTACAAATGATAGCATTCTAGATATTTTCAGACATGCAGGCAAACTCATGTATTGTAGACACTGGTATTTTTCTGTAAGTTTTCCAGAAACTTGTAACTGCTTTTGCCTTCTAGAACTTTGAGCTTTTTCAACATCTGAAGTGGTACCCGGGTGATGTTTAGGATAGTGTCTGAATCAGTAGATGGAGATCTCGAAGTGGTACCCGGGTGATGTTTAGGATAGTGTCTGAATCAGTAGGTGGAGATCATGAGTGTGCACACGGGTCCTGGGGGTCCATCCTTCCTGGTGGACTGTCCAGTTTCTAGAGCCCACTCTAGCTAGAGGTACTACCTTCCTGTCCGCTGAGGATGATTTTCTGAGTATCACTGTCCTGCTGATGCTGCTACAGCACACGGTCAGGACTTCGGTAGAGAAAGAAGAGAAGCAACGTAAATGTTTTCCCATTAAAATTTATTGTGCATATGTGTGCATGCAACTGTGCAAATTCAGTCTGGTTGGTTTTGTTTTGTTTTTGTTTTTTTTTTTTCAGTAACTGTTTCCTGCCTGACCCCATGCCTTGAGGGCTGGCTCTGTTAAGTTGGCACCACCGCCCACCGCTGGTGGGACAGGACAGATACCATTAAGTAACACTGGCCTCACACAGAGAGTCAACAGTTGTGGCCTTGGATGCTAAAACCTCTCCTGTTTGTTTTGCTCCTAGGTCTGGGACCAGTCTTCAGTATAAGTCTCAACCAGAAAAACCACCTCCTCATTCAGTCTGCAGGACCACACCACACCCTGGGTCTCTGCCGCAGGGGACCCCAGCGCCCATCCGCTCGACCCGCATTCAGCACAGCTGGGTCCAGACTGTCCTTGGCACGGATACCCCCACCTACAAGGGGTGCAGATAGCCAAGGCTCGTAGGCGCTGCTGGCACTCGGTGCCCCACCCCGGGGCACCTTCCTGCAGTCATCCTCTTTGCACTTTGTTACTCTCTCACTCATTCAGAGACTTTTGTATTTAGCTCCAGCCTGTACCCGTTCATCAAAGGACGCCAACCCGGACTGTGGCTGGAGTCTACCCGCTACTCCGAGATCCTCGGGCTGCTTGGTTTTTCTTTGCTTTTTAGTGTTTTTTTTTTCTTTTCCTTTTTCTTTCTTTTTTTTTTTTTTAAGACAACAGAATTCTTAGTAGATTTGGATAGCGACGTATTTCCTGTTGTAGTCGTTTTTAGCTAGATCACACCATCAGGTCTTTGCCACTGAAACGTAGCATAGAAGACTCCCCGTTGGTCGGCTAACCTCCCGTGTTCATGTAGCTTCATTCTTGTTCTGGTCCAGTCTCATAGATGGCCCTGTTGGACGCAGGGTGACATCGTAGCCAAATGTTTACCGTTCTCATTGCCTTTTATGGCCTTGACAACTTCCCTTCCCACCAGCTGAGAATGTATGGAGGTCTATCCGGCCTCAGCTCGGAGGCAGTGACCTGGGGCCAAGGGACCTCATCAAACTCTCTCCCCCACCCCTCAGCGTCATCTCCCCAGCCTGCTTCCCCAGCTTTCCACGTAGCTTTGGCCAGGAAAGCACGCAATAGACTAGCTGCAAGCCCAGCATTAACAGGCCTTGGGGTTTGGCCTGGGACCGGGGCACCCACCTCCTGTTCTGAGGGTTGGCGTGTTGCTCCTCACTCCTGGAAGGGGGAGGAGAGCTGTCTGGGAGCCCTGCATGGCGGATCACTGCATGCGCTGCCCCTGACCTGGCTGACTCCTCCCTGGGTTGCTCTGCCAATGTACTGCTGCCATCCCATAGCCCCACCAAGCCGAGACCCTCTGATACTTGTCAACTAACCGGCCACAGCAGGCTGCAGTCTGTAGCACTGAACAAACAAACGAAAAACAAAACGCTCAAGCCTTACGACCAGAGAAGGATTTCAGCAAACCACACTTCTCCCTCAGTTTCCCCTCCCACCTTCGTTCCCCGCTGACTTCAAGAATGCCTGTGTGTTCACACAAAAACCCAGCACAGTTCTACCCCACGAAACTGTGACTTCGCAGATGAGCCTTTCCCTAGGGCTGGACCTAAGACCAGGACATTGGAGAGAAGCCGCAGCTCAACTCTTCCAGCCCTGTGGGGCTGGCGAGTCCCCCCCTTAGGTGCAGTGCGGCTTGCCCAGTCTCTCTCCACGCTCTTTAGAGTGGGAATTCCTGGCAACTGGATAGAACCAACGTAGAGGCTTTGCAGTTGGCAAGCTAACTAGCGGCCTTACTTCTGCCTTTAATCTCCCACAAGGCCTCTTCTGCTTTGGATTCTCCACGATTCTTAGGCGTGCCTCCACGACTGAGGCACCTCCTAGGTAGGCTGAAAGGTAGACCCGTCCCCACCACAGCCGGTGACCGTGTCCACAGTCCATGTCACTTCCCAGATTACAACCTGGCCTAAATGCCGGCTGCTTCCTGCTCGTCTCTGACCTAAGTGCTTTCTTGTTTGAAACGCCCGTGACCCTCCATGTCCTGTGCCCTGCCGCTGTGTTTTATGTGTGGCTTGGAATCTTTGGGGTTGTGTTCCCTATCCCCGTTCCCCCAGGGCAGATCTGACTGACTGTTTGCTGAAGTTTTTGTCTCTTGGTCCACAAGTATTTGGAATGGTCACTGATACCTGGTCTTCAGTCTTGGCATTTCATTTAGGACCTCCACGAGAAATGGGCGCCGTGAGCCCTGACCATGTGTATTGCGCGTCTCATCTGTGAAGTGCTTCCTGCTACATAGAACTAGCTCAGAAGACTGTACATATTTACAAGAAACTTTATATTCGTAACAAAAAAAAGGAAATTGAATTGGTTTCTACTTTTTTATTGTAAAAGGTGCATTTTTCAACACTTACTTTTGTTTTCAACGGTGGTAGTTGTGGACAGTCATCTCCGCCGGAGTGGGGAGCTCTCTGTGTGACCACCGAGATGCCAGCAGGAAATAATCGTTAACCCGAAATCGCAGTCAAAAGCTTCTTAGCATCAGTAAGATTCTAGGTCTCCAAAAGTACAGGCTTTTTCTTCATTACCTTTTTTATTCCGAACGAGGAGAACACACGGACAATTCCAGATCCACCTTGAGAGGAATGAACTTTGCTGTTGAACAATAGTGAAATAAAGCAATGATCTCAAAATGTCCGCTCCCTTGGCATGGTCTCTCATCAGAGCACAGGCTCACTGGCACAGCACCTCCGCTCTGAGGGAGGATCGTTCTGGGTGCCGCTGGGTGGTGAGAATCAGATTCTGATTTTGGGATTAAGAGTCGGGGAACACTTGGTTTGGTGAGGGCTTCTATGAACCAGGTGCTTGTTATTAAAGTCGTTTTCTAGACAGGGAACTGGAAAGCAGCTTCAACTGCCACCTAGGCTAGGATTAGTCTAGAATATATTAGCCGTGAGGCAGCTAACCAGGAAAACAGGTCAGCACAGGATCTTCCTTATCCAATTACGCTGAGGCCACCGTGAACTTAATCCTGCACTTGTCTTCAGCGGGGGCTCGGGTAAAGGGTGCTGAATGCTTCCGGCTCTGACTAGACGGTTACTGTTTGCAAGGTAAATGCTCTCCACCACGTTGTAGTTTATGTAAACTGGACTGGTCCAGAAAAAGATTTTTTCTCTCCCCCCCACCAATGCCTGTTGCTTTTAATCTCTGATTAAAATACAACACGGTAATTAGATGTAGTTAAAAGCTGACTTTGAGGGTCAAATCTAACAGGCTTTTGATGGGAGCTACAGAGGCTGTGTTCCTTGTGATTGGGAGAAAGACAGTGACTCACAAAGGGGGAAGTGAGATGTTGCAACTCTTCCACAGAACAAACAGAAAGATGCGGGGGAGCTACCAGCTACCATTTCAGTTACTAGCTTAAGGTTCTTAGCAGCCAAGGACTCTCCCCAAAGCTAAGCAAACAGGGTTTGATTCCAAAAGGAACTTGCTCAGAGGTCTTTTAGACCTGAAGGGACTACCCTACGAAACAACTATGAAATCACTCAGTCACACTATAAAGTGAGGCCCAGCCCTTGACAACTTAATTCTCACCAAACTCAAGACATTGACTTCATACCAGTTTCATGACTATGAACTTTGGGTTCCTGGGGCCAAAGCGAAAGAGATAGTCTATTTAATTAAGAGCTGAATAGCTAGTCTGCAGAAAAGGACCTTTTTGCCAAAGGTTAGTTCAGAACACTTATGAAGACCCACATCAAGAGATGAGGCTGCAGGGGATGGTGGCGCACGCCTTTAATCCCAGCACTCAGGAGGCAGAGGCAGGTGGATCTCTGTGAGTTTGAGGCCAAGCCTGGTCTACAGAGTGAGTTCCAGGACAGCCAGAGCTACACAGAGAAACCTTGTCTCGAAAGACAAAAGGGGTGGAATGGAGTGGGGGTGGGGCTGGCCCTGCAGGGGTGGGGCAGCTCAGCTTCCACCATAACTACATTGTCTCCTTGCAGTGGTTCTCAGCCAAGACCCTACAGATTGCTACTGACAGCGATTCTAAGTGACAGAGTTAGTTTTGGTCACCACAGGTATGGGTTCTGAGTGATATCCAATGGGGAGAGGGTCAGGGAAGTGCTATGAATGCCCTATAATTCCCAGAGAGCCTTCGTCCCCCATAGCTACAGCAGCAGCAGCAGGAAGTCTGAGCCTCTGTTCTGGCTTTCCAGTCAGAGGCAGTTCTGATCAGATCCTACTTGCTGGTTTAGGTGCTGCTTATTCTGTCGGAAACCATCAAATGTTGGACCTGTTTTCTTGAAGTTGAGGGGGCTGTGGGTGGAAATACTGTACAGCAATGGCAGCTTCCCCTTGGGTCTGTCAATGAGTAATGGAGCTGTTTGCCCAGAGGGGTTATTAGAGGTGGAAGAAAGGACTTTGAAAGGACTGCTACTGCACAGGTCTCAGGCTCCCTCACAGAGCCACAAAATGGGGAAAGGGCAATTGACTGGGCTGTGCACCTGGAGCTGTCTCCTGTCTCCCTGGCTGTGGCATTTCCAGATGGGACAGAGAGATGAATTCCTGGGGGGTGGGGGCGCTATTGATGTGGACTCCAGAGACAGTAGCGGGTTCCCACAGACCAGGCTCCAGCTTGTAGGATCCCCTCCAAGGTTCGGACTCAGAGCTCTCAGGAAGACTGGATGATCCCTACAATTAACTGGGATGATATGGGCTTTACAAGAAATACAGACATAGTCATGATTTCCTTGCTTTCTCCTCAAGATGGAAGGCTCAGAGGCAGAAGGCTCAAGTTTCTGTTTGTCCATTAACCTGCTGGGTACAAGTGTTGCAGACTCATTGGAAGCAGGATACACTCAGTGACTGACCCAGACTTGGGTCTTCATAACACAGTTCAGACTGTTAACATGGGGGGATGCTTGTGTAGGGCTTCACAACACGATTCAGACCGTTAGCACGGGTGGATGCTTTTATTTATTTACTTATTTATTTATTTAAAAGAAGATTTTTATTTTTATGTATACAGGGTTCTTCCTGCATGTATCTTACCTACAGTACAGAAGAGTGCACCAGATCTTATTACAGATGGTTGTGAGCCACCATGTGGTTGCTGGGAATTGAACTCAGGACCTTTGGAAGAGTAGCCAGTGTTCTTTACCTCTGAGCCATCTCTCCAGCCGCCGGATGCTTTTGTGTAGGGCTTCACAACACGGTTCAGACCGTTAGCACGGGTGGATGCTTTTGTGTAGTGTTGCTACTGGAAACCGCAACTGAGACGGTGTCATTTACAAAGAACACATTTATTCCGTGCACTTCTGGGAAATCTGAGACAAGGTGCTATGGGTGTGATTGCCTGGCCAGGGCTGCGGTAGACTTCCAAGATGAACCTTTTGTTTCTGAACTTCTCCATGGGGGCAGAGGGCTTTGTCCTCACATGGCAGAAGACATGAAGTCCTGTGGTAAAGCTTCCCTCATGAGGGCTGGGCAGGGGGCTCATGACCTAACAACTTCTTAAACAGCACCTACAACTGAGCTTTGGATGGGACCTAGTCAGACCATGGTAGATGAACCACCAGAATTCAGTGTAAGCTTGAATGTGAACTTGGGTTCATGTTCAAGGAACCTTGTTCTCTGAAATGTCCTGGTCTCGGACCTCAGTCATGGATGTCTGGGACTTCCTAAGGAGCTGATGTTACTTTGTAATTTCCTTGTCTGGTGCCCTGACCTCCTGTTTGTGGACACAACTCACTTGTTTTGTGGCTCCCAGTGTGACATAAGGGGGTCCAGGTGTCATCTTGCTTTGTTCATCCTTCGTTTTCCAGGGAGAGGACATCCCTAGAAGCTACATCTGCCATGGGGTGAAGAGCTCAAGACTGACATGCCAGGCTGGTAACCTAGTCATAGAGCACTGTCAACTGCCCTCACATCTACCACAAGTAGAGACAAGGGAAGGAAGTGGTCTTGCCTGGGTCCTCTGGATATGGTGTCTTCATATATGATTGAGGTTGACTGCCTAGAAAGATGTTACACAGGGCCCCCAAACTAAAGTTGTTTACTAAGATTTACTTCAGATTTTATCATTCCCCAAACAATACAGCTTAGTTATAATAAGTTTGCACTTTATTAAGCACACAGGAAGATGCGTGTAGCTTATATGGAAATACTATACCATTTTATCTGTGACTTGAGTGTCTGGATATTTTCATAATGGGAGCCGAGAAAGAACCAGTCACCAGAGGATACTGAGAAACCACTTACATTTTGATTCAGCAATACCCTTACATTTTAATGATTTTCCAGGCCTTACCTTTGTCTCTGTAATTTGTGTTTACGTTTTCAGACAAAGGAAATACATCTTTACTAAAAAGCAATTTGAAATAACCATGGAGCCTGTCCTCATCTATAGAGAACAGTAGCTGACAAAGAAACTGTAACCTGGGTCACAGAACACAACCAGACAGGTAGCTGTACTTCTGTGGGTTGGCCACACAGCTGCTCCTTTTCCGTTTCTTGGAAGTAATTTACACCATTGCCTTTAGCTTCTGGGTCTGGGGTCTCTGGGCACCTTCTGGACTACAGTGGACTTTCTTTTGCTCTTTGAGAAAATGAGATCTTTGAATAAATATGCACACAGAACGTATGTGTTCGCTTCTTGAAGCTGTGCCTGCCGCCTGCCACTTTGGTATACTAGTCATCTCTCAGGAGCCACCTATGATCCTGGGACTGTCACTCTCACGGGGGCCACCTATGATCCCGGGACCGTCACTCTCACGGGGGCCACCTACGATCCCGGGACCGTCACTCTCACGGGGGCCACCTATGATCCCGGGACCGTCACTCTCACGGGGGCCACCTATGATCCCGGGACCGTCACTCTCACGGGGGCCACCTATGATCCCGGGACTGTCACTCTCTCAGGAGCCACCTATGACCCTGGGACTGTCACTCTCACGGGGGCCACCTATGACCCTGGGACTGTCACTCTCTCAGGAGCCACCTATGACCCTGGGACTGTCACTCTCTCGGGAGCCACCTATGACCCTGGGACTGTCACTCTCACGGGGGCCACCTATGATCCCGGGACTGTCACTCTCTCAGGGGCCACCTATGATCCTGGGATTGTCACTCTCACGGGAGCCACCTATGATCCCGGGACTGTCACTCTCTCAGGGGCCACCTATGACCCTGGGACTGTCACTCTCTCAGGGGCCACCTATGACCCTGGGACTGTCACTCTCTCGGGAGCCACCTATGACCCTGGGACTGTCACTCTCACGGGGGCCACCTATGACCCTGGGACTGTCACTCTCACGGGAGCCACCTATGATCCTGGGACCGTCACTCCCTCAGGACCCACCTATGATCCTGGGACTGTCACTCTCACGGGGGCCACCTATGATCCTGGGACTGTCACTCTCAAGGTGTGCCCTCGGAACTAGTTTTTACATTGCTCTTTTGGGTGTTCCAACCCCTTGTGAGTGCAGCTAAATTTTTAAATGCGCATGCAGAGGCCACAGGATGGTCAGGTGTCCTGTCACTCTCCCCCTTTTCTCTTGAAGGTGTCTCACAAAACCTCAAACTCGTATTTTAACTAGACTGGCTGGCCATGGGTGCTGGGATCTGCTTGTTTCTCCTCCCAACACTAGGGTTACAAACACAGGACTTTTATGTGGATGCTGGAGATCTGAACCGGGTTCTCATGCTCACATAGTTAGTGCATCTCCCCAGTGCCCCAAGAGCTAATTTACACGCGAGATTTTCTTCTAGTTCCCACCTCACTCTGGGGCACCCACAGGTATGATGGGTAGGTGCCTCTGCATCTGACCCTCAGCCAGTGGGAATTCACAGCTGTCTTGTCCACAGAGTTACAAGATAGACCTGGAAGGTCTACTCTTCAAGAAACCAAACAGAATGTAAACTCCCTCTGGTTAGTTTTACAAATCTTTATTGAAACTTACACATCAAGATGACAGCAATTCAGTGTTTTGAAAACAGTAACAAAAAGGAACCCAAACTCAGGTCAGCCAGATACTGACACCACTGAGCTAGTTCCCGCCTGTTCAGCAGAAACAAAGGGTATATTGGTAATTTCTGCTGACAGGTGACAGGAACCTACACCAATGGGCACATCTGTGGCATCACCAGGGAAATCAAGATGAGTATAAAACAGGTTCATTCACACGAATCCCAAAGACATTGTCCTACTGAGAATCTAGGTGGTTGCTATAGGGGTTCAAGTTCTTTTAGAACGAGCAATAGCAACCACTGTGACATCCTTTGCTCACTGGAGACACGGGTCCCCAGCTGAACAGCACATGCTGGAACTGAAGAAGGGTGGGTGCTTTGACAGTCATCATGGTAACACTGTCACCATTACAGTTGAAATAAGGAATGGACAACTTTCCATGCTGGCCAGTCCTCAGGATCATCCAGCTTAATGGAGAATACGGCAGTGGGTTTGGAATTTTTGTTGAGGACAGTTATTGCTGAGCGAAGTCACACGGTCTATAGTTTCATCCTGGTGACTTATTGCCTTAGGTAGGACTGGACAGCCAGCCACTCTAGTTAAAAAGGTCCTTAGTGCACACGGTGTCGGGCAATGATTGCAAAGCTGCACCTGGAAATCAGACATCTGAGTTTCCATTGAATCTACAATCTACTGCTTTGATTTGGAAGGACAGGCAGCATTGAATATTGCTTACGTCCACAGCGAGGCTCCAGCAGGGATAGGCCATCGACCCTGGACAATACGATGAGGACTTTTGTGTGGCTTCAGTCCCTGTTCCCCAGTTTTTACTAGCAAGGTGCCAGCACTCAGGTCTGGCTTTAGACATCTCTGGGCAGCCGAGGGGATGTTTGGAGTACACTAGCCTCGTGCACTGCAGGCAGCCATCCCTTCCCCATTTCTGGACTCTCCTAGAGAGGCTGTGTCTGGACAAGCCTTCAAGGAGGACTAGGGCAGGGGTAAAATGTCCCAGAGAGTGAAGTGAGGATCTGCATGCACATGGAGAGCCCAGCACTGCCTGCTGTCCCTGTGGTCCATGGCTGGCTCTCAGCATCTCATATGGGCTTGTACAGCAGGGTGGTGACATACTTTTTCTTGTACCGGTGAGTTGCGCTGAGCACCATCACGCCGTCCTAAGAGGGTGGGAATGACCAAAGGCAGGACAGAGTCAGGGACACAGACTTTAGAGGACACGAGATTCGCCACAGGCTTAAGGAAAGCAGCTCCTGGGCAGAACCTGAACCAGAGCCCGACAGACCCCCAAAAGCTACCCTGGCTGTCAACACTTCCAGGCAATCCTGGCACGACAGGTCCTCAGACCTCATGCTCAGAAACTGCTCTAAGGCCAGACAAGCCGTACCTTGATAGAGAGTGCATACAGGTGGTTCAGCATGACGTGGTTCGGCTCCGGAAGCAGCGCTGGATCACACTGGAGGGAACAAAGGGAGATATGAACAAGCAGGATCTGGAAGGCAAGGTGATTTTCCTCCCTTACTTCACGGCACAGGCAGGGTAGCCGAGGACCTATCCTCCCAAGCGGGGCAGTGGAAGGGCTGTGGAGCCGACAGTTGAGAAGGCCGAATCTATCATGGACTGGAATACTCCAGCCAAGCTTTCACCTGACCGGAGTCCCTGTCCCATCCTTACCGAGAAGAGGCAGAAGATCAAGGACCCACCGAAACACTTCCCTGGAACACAAGATATGCTGTGTCTACACGCCCCTGAGAAGTGGACACACGGACACGGCCTCACCACACCTTTCCACCACAAGAGCCCCGACAGTCCCTTCAGTGCACATCCCCAACTCTAAGAGAACACACTCACACGGAGAACAGTGAAGCACAGGCGATGATTAGCTGTGGTGACTCAAAGCCGAGGAGGTCCCTCACTCAGGGAAGGTGTGTTCTTATCACTCAATACTCAGGGAACCCCACTACTTTAGTGCCTTCAAGAGCTGCCAGCAGGCCCGTGAAGCCCAGAAGGGGGAAAGCAAGAGCTCTGAGAAGGTGTGACTGGGCCTTCCAAAGGAAGCTGGATGGCCCTCCTCACGCTGTGCAGAGGACGCAGGAGAAGCACGCGGCATCCTAATGAGCTGCAGCGGTCAGTCTGGAACCTGCTGGGGACAGCAGCCTGCAGTCACGAGAGAACTGGAGGTGGAGGAGCAGGACTCCCAGGCCCTAGACCTAGCCCTGCCCTGGCAGCCCAGCCTCCCAGCACTGCACCTGTCCTGTCTCAGAGGCTAACAGCTTTGTCGCAGGTTCCCCGAGAGCCCCTGCTTGGCAGGCCTGGCAGAAAGAGAACAAGAGTTGGCCTCTGTGCCTCAGTAGAATGCTGCTTCAGCCAACTGCTGCTGGAAGTCCCAAGAACTACAGCTCTGATCTGCCAGTTTTCAGAGAGCGTCATGTTTGGGCTGTGCAAGTTCTGTGGAATACCTACACTGGACCAGTTACATTCATCACTTTCTCTGTGTGGTTAGAGACCACTTACAATCTACTCTGTGCTGTTAATGAACACATAACTCAGTATTGTCTATGGACGATCCCTAGAGTTAGACATACAACCCATGTGTCTGTGTGTATCTGTGTGCACATGCGTGTGCATGCAATGCACGAGTGCATCTGAAGGAAACAAAATCTGGAAGCTGAAAAGACATCAGTCTGCTCATGTTCACTGCCGCACTGTTCACCACAGCCATGCTGTGGAGTCACAAACACAGGACACACCATCCTGGATGGGACACTGCACCATACGGAGGAGGTGGGCAGAAGGCATGCATTCATTGATTTTGTTTTTTTTTTTTAAATTTATTTATTTATTAAAGATTTCTGTCTCTTCCCAGCCACTGCCTCCCATTTCCTTCCCCCTCCCCTAATTAAGTCCCCCCCCCCTCAGCCCGAAAAGCAATCAGGGTTCCCTGTCCTGTGGGACCTATAATTAGTGATCCTAGAGAAGCTAAATAAGGAGAACCCAAAGAAAAACATATAGGCATCCTCCTGAATATTAACCTTCAGCAAGCGATGAAAGGAGACAGAGACAGAGACCCACATTGGAGCACAGGACTGAATTCTCAAGGTCCAAATCAGGAGCAGAAGGAGAGAAAGCACGAGCAAGGAACTCAGGAGCATTCATTGATTTTGGATGATAGTGGATGCACTGAGACCTCCTCCCTCAAAGTCCTGCTGCTGTTTTCCCTGTTAGGATGAGCTAAAACCTGGAACTAGGAGTCCAAAACATCCTCGTTCTCCCTTAGACTGCTTTTGTCCAATGCCTCATTACAGCAACAGAAAAGAAACTGTGACAACGGCATGCGGCGCAGCCTTAGAAAGGAAACATAGATTCTGTGGGCATTAAATACGCCAGACACGGGAAGACAAAACCATAGGACACAAGCAAAATCTCTAAAAGGTAGGATAGGAGAAACAATTGTGAGAAGAGGCTGACCACAGTGACAATGTGCTGGATTTCTCAAAACCGTCAAGACAGTGGGCTCTAACCTCTGCTGGGGATGCCACTCAGTATCTCTGTAACTGGAAACGGCCTGTTAGAGCCCAGGGCTGCCTGTGTCAGAGTGTGCCCGCACAGGTTCTCCCTACTCATGGCTCCCTTGGCGGGAGGAGGCGCCTTCCTTGCTTAGAAGGTGCTGGATGTCTTCCAACCTTTGAACTGTTTCAGAGGAGGGAGGGAGCAGCCTCACCCGAGTCTTTCAGGATAGCAGCTAAGGGTCCTTGCAGACCCCAATGGCCGTCTGTATGAGCCATTGCCAACTTAGCGCTGGACACAGCTAGTAAGATCTGAAGTTTGCTGGTTCTTATCCCCAGCCTCCTCCTGGATACAGAGAGACGACCACACCAGCTGCTGTGTGTGGACTCTCAGCACAGAGGCGAGGCTGGTCCCTGAGAAAGCTGGGCCTTTTGAGAGGGAGTAGCAAACACTAAACTGCCCTGGTGGTCCAGCAGTGACTGTTCTAAGAGAAGGCCCCCACAGACACATCACGCTCACCAGCACGTGGAGTCTACTTACGGGTAGAGTGTTGAGTGCCATGGCTACTTTAGCACCTGTTACGGTTTGACTGCGTCCCCTAAAGCTCAAGTACTAGGACCTTATTCCCAGTGACTATCGGGAGATGGCAGTAACTGGTGATGAGTTAGATGGAGGCACCCTGAGAGTGGGTCAGGCATCTTGAGGGCTCAAGCCTCTCCTGCTTTCCCACTGATGGCATGGCAGATACCATGCTTGTGTACGGCACAGCTGTTGGCCTACACCAAACCACTTCCCTTCTTCATAAGCACCTCGGTTTCTATTCTGTTTCAGCAGCAAGATTGTGCCTTATGAACAGAGCTACATAGTATGGACAACTTAGGTTAAAAGAATGGAAAACCAGCCACAGGAAACAGCTGGCTGCTCAAGGCCCAGGCTCCATGTTTCCTTTCCGCAGGTCACTGGGCAGTTTCACAGAGGAAATGTGTTACGACAGCTTAAATTCTGATCCAGAAGGGCTGATGTTTCCAAAAGCAACTTGGTAATTTGATTCTAAAATGATATGGCCAGAGGAAGAATTCCAAGATCTAGCTGACCAAGAAGGGGTGGTTAAATATTTTCTAGTGAAATTTCAACGTAAATTTCACCAGCAGCTTTTGTCCTCCGCATCTGAGGACCACGGCAGTCCCCACAGTGGAGGACACAAGTGTAAAAGCGGGCAAAGAGGAGAGCAGATGAGCACGACCTCGTACGGATCTGGACAGCGTACTCACAGAGATGCCCGTGTCCTTGTTCAGGATGACCTGCAGCAGGTGTGGCGGGAGGATGGGCGGGGCCTTGAACCGCTCTTCTGGTTTAGAGATGTAAGGCTCCTGATGGTAGGGTCCTGGTGGGGAGCTGGACAGCTCTGTCGGGAGATGGTGACAAGGATGCTAAGACCTAAGCTGATTTATGGCTTCCTTATCCAGCTTTCTGTCCTTGCTCCCTCAATACAGACTCCTATTTTCTTCAAGAGAGAGGAGGAACAGAGGGGATGAAAAACATCTGTAGAATCTGGGTGCTCGGACTAAACCTCAATGGTAATTTGAGATTCCAATGAAAGGACCGTTGTGGCAAAGCTAGGTGTCTGGGTCACACTAGCGGGAGCCATTCCTAATGACCTAGCCTCTCCTGTCAGAGGAAAGGCTTCCTTCTTCAGGCTGAGTTTGATGAATGCCACAAGTTCAAGGCTTCAAAGTGGGAAAAGTGGCCTAGCCTAAGTTACAAGCTCTCCCAGGCAGAATAAAATAGGTTTTACGAGGCAGCGGCATATCAAAAATAAATAAATAAATAAATAACAATAAATACCTAAGTGTAAAGTCTCTTTGGCTCCTCACTCTCAGGTCTGAGCATCTTTACTATCCAGACACAATTAAGAAGCTTCTGAAAGTACAGCACCTCAGGTCAGAAGCATCCCAAATACTGACGTCTGGCTGGCTGGCTGGCTTGCTGAGGTACTGAGCCAAACATCAGGATGGGCTCTGGTCACCTGATCCTTAAGCTGGTCCAACTGCCAACTTTATCAACATCATTTCCTAGGCCGGGCTCCCTTTACGTGATCCAACCACATCTCAGTAGAAAAACTGAAAAAAGCATTCAGTGCAGGAAACTGAGCCATAAGGAATAAGCACATCGCATTAAACAAACGAACTTGAGTGTCTAAAGGGTTTAGCGCTGGGGGAGGGGCACCCGGCAGCAGTGAGGTGCACTTTGATTAAAGACATTGGTGTGCAGATGAAGTTCCACCATGCGCAGCGCCATCATGCTGCACCCTCTGCCTATTTGAAAATACGTGACTGGTCATCGGAGACAGCCAGTGATCCCAATGCAAGAGCACCCAGATCCACAGCCAGCCAAGCCCACCAGTCAGTTTAGAGCTGTGATGTCAGAAGTGGTTAACAGTGAGACGCCAGAGGCAGACCCTCCAGACCCGCCCAAGAGATGATGGGAAATCTGTGAACTGAACTAAATCTGTTCTCTCCAACTGTTGGGTGCACTCCCGAAGATTCCCTTACTGTCTCCCACAGGGCCCAGGAAGCAGCCCCTGTGTACAAGAAGGGGAAGAGCAGCTGCCTCTGCCACCGGGATCACTACACATCGTTTCTCTTCAACTGTCCCTTGACATTCCAGGTAGTTTCTTCCTATGGGGTGTGGGTGGACAGCAGTCCCCAAAGCTCTGTGGTTAGAAGATTCTTGTCTACCAGGACTGAAAAGAGAGTTGTGCTATGCAGCCTTTTTCTCTCAGAAGCCTGACAAGCAGCTAATGGACTGCACAAGTGACAGCCAAGGTCACTGAGGTGTCCTTTATCACCTGTCAGCCTGCAATTCTCCAGACACTGAGTGGGGAGTGAGCTGGCAGCTCCCCTGGTGCTGGCTCATTACAGACTCAAAGTGTCCTTCTAGGGCCTCTTCAGCCCTGCCTGGTTCTGTTCCTACAGCCAAGTGGAACTACAGAATAGCCCACAAGATAAGGCAGTGACATACAGCTTCTTTGGGGTTAAGCTCCAACAGCTAGAGCTGCGGGGTTAGGAATGAACTGCTGTGGCCTGAAGAGCTATAGTTGTCCACCTGGCCGGGCAGCTTCTGCTCAATTGTGAGAGGCAAGGGAAAGAGAAGTATGTCCAGGCTGCACAGCCCCAGCCTGCACACATGTGGGATAAAGTAACTGTTCATACCAGACACATCGGAGCACTTTTGGGAATCCACCATTAAAGCATCAAATACTTCAAAGTCAGTTTTCTTCACTTGAATGATGTTGTTAACTGTGCCAAGCTGGCTGGTTACTATTGGCTGGGAAGAGACAGACAGGCAGACATCATAACATGGAAGGTCTGTGGAGTTTTTCAGAGGACTAGAATTCCTGGCTGGGAGGTCTCACCGCCTGGCTAGCTACTCTTGGTCAATTATACCAATGACCTGGCAACTGGTGCTGTCTAACTCGGAGCCACACACAGGGAAAAGGGACCTGACAGCAAGTGACAAGGGAAGTGGTCAGTGTTGGTGTGCGGGCACCCAGAGGGCTGGGGGCTGCAGGAAGAGTACCTCAGAAGGATCGTGGGTCCACTGCCCATCCACAAAGAACTTGTACTGATGCTCTCCTTCAGGCAGATCCAGGATGGCTACAAAGTTATTTTGGCTGCAGAAAGAGAAGAAGCAGTGTTTCAGCTGGGTGGGCTGCGCTCTGGCTCCAGGACCAACTGAGTTTGACTGCAGGAGAGCAGACATGTTCAACAATGCATGGTTACAGTCTCAACCCAGGAAAGCCACTTAAGAAAGCAGCAGGCAAGAGTTTCCAGAAAACTTCCTTTGCTCAGACACTAGGAACCTAGAATCCTAACACTGCAAGGTCAACGAATGGTTAATTCATGTTTTTCCAGTCTGCAGCCTGGGTGCCAAGGAGAGGCCAACAAAGGCAGCCACCAGCGGCCTAGCTTCCCTTTGCACAGGGAGATGGCCAGTGTTACAGAGCTCACATGCATGAACACAAACTTACAGAACTACCCAGCAGTTCTTTTTTTTTTAAATATTTATTTATTATGTACACAATATTCTGCATCCGTGTATGCCTGCAGGTCAGAAGAGGGCACCAGATCTCATTACAGATGGTTGTGAGCCACCATGTGGTTGCCGGGTATTGAACTCAGGACCTTTGGAAGAGCAGGCAATGCTCTTAACCACTGAGCCATCTCTCCAGCCCCCTACCCAGCAGTTCTTAAGCCCTAGCCATTTAGTTGTTTCTTGGCCTGAGCTGAACTAACTTGTTACAGAGCCTACTGGTTCCCTCCTTCATTGTCAGTCACGGGAGCACAGGGGTTCTAACAACCAGGCATGGATGGCTCAGGCGTGGTCACTAGTGAGCATGGAGACAGAATCCACACCAGGGTTTTGGAGGAAGCATCTCGTATATCCTTGCTAATGTCTTCAGAGCATGCACCTCCCAAAAGTACTAGAAGGGAGGTCCAAGAGTCCCTTACAGAGTGACTGTTTAGTGCAGGCAATGTGGGCTCAGACCTGCTCCTCTGAGGTTCCCAGCCCGTTCTTTCTCCATTGCACTAGGATTGACTTTTTCAGAAGAAACGTGTAGCTGAGTGTCAGACTTCCTCTCCACTGAGAGACTGCTGTCTTCTGAAAACCGTGCATTTAAAGACAGTCATTTCTAGGGTTTGAGACCTAAACCAGATCTGTAACTCATTAAGCAAAATAGTTTCTCACTCAACATCTATATTACAAAAAAAAAAATCCTTTATTCTGTTCACCCGCAGAGAGCTTTTAGGAATAAGAATATATCCACAGCTAAAGTAACGAGGGAATGAAGTCCCACCATTACCTTCTTGTGAGGGGAAGTTTGCTCCAGTTGTTGAAGGACCCAGACAAGTAGACCTCTTTTCCACCCCCTGTCCATCGAAATACAGTTGGCCGAGCCTGGGCGGGGGCTTTATCATTCACTTCAAGATCATGCTGCCAGGCCAGGAACTCCTCCTTCTCTGGAGCCTAAGAGCAGAGCCTTTTACTCAGGGTCAGGCAGCCTCCCCACACCACCGCTAGCCTAAGAGCAACTCTAATCAGGCAGCCTGGCCACTTACAGACTTGCGTCTGTCCCCCACCTGCAGAATGGAGATAGAAAAGCAACCGCTGTCGGTACTGTGCAGACTGAGATAGTCCCACAGTCGGTGCTTAATCATTAGCTACTATTACTGCAATTAGACTTCACAAAAACTCTAGAGGAAGCTATAAGGCCTACTTGGAAGAAGACTGCCGTGAATCCAACGTGAGCTTAATACATGTGATTTCCCTCCACTAAGCAAGACTTCCGGGTACATAAAAATTTATTAGGGATGATCTTGGAGCTGTTACAACTGGCAAATTCAGAGGGTGAGGAAGAGTCTATTCACCAAGTACTGGAGCAATAGATAAGTAAAACAGACTGGTCCTGCCACTATGGCAAATGACGATACCTAGTTATGGAAGAGGGTAACCGACTTACTCCAGCCAGAGAGAAAGGACCACATCCAGCTCTGGGGTGGAGCACAGTTCTCCAGTCAGAAGAAAAGCCAAAGACTAGATTTCTAGGATGGGAAAACGCCCTGAAGGGAGCTCAGGAAGGCCTATTGCCTCTACCTCCAGATACTGATCTGCTCTAATCTAAAAGATGCCTGCAGTCTTTGGGTCTGCGCCACAGACTGGAGCAGGGGTTCTTAACCTTCCTGCTTGCACCCTTTAACACAGTTCCTCCTGCTGTGGTGACCCCCAACCAACCATAAAATTATTTTTATTGCTACTTCATAACTGTAATTTCCCTACTGTTATGAATCATAATGTAAATATGTTTTTGTACGGAGAGGTTTGCCAAAGGGGTTGTGACCCACAGGTTGAGAGCCACTGCTCTAGTGCGCTCACTAACTGTAGCCACAAAGCTGAACTGGGGTAATGGGGAGAATTTCTGACTTGACTGGGCGGCCTGGCTACTACTGTTGGAATAAAGAAGTGCCACTCAAGTCCCCCTCCCTATCCCATCCAGTGGATAGCAGTAACACCACCCAGGCCTCTAAAGACATTTACCAGCTCAGTGCAGAGAGCAGAAGGCAAGGTGACACAAATACTTGCTTCCTCTTAAATAGCCTCGGCCAAGATCACTTCTAGGGGTGGGGAGAACCTCAACTCAGTGGAGAAAACAGCACTCCAAAGTCACAGCACACACCTTTCCGCCAAAGCAGCGAGCCCAGAAAATGAGTTACAGTAACAAGAAGTAGGCTCCTTAAAGTTAGACTCAAAATTAAGGTCCAAGGAACAAGAATGTGGGTTCCTATCTCAGTTTGAGGGCAGGGGTGAGGAAAGGCCCAGCGAGGGAAGACCAGGCAATTAGCCTGTTAAGTAATGAGGATTAATAGGCAAGCAGACAGTAAAAGGCCATGCTGGGCAGAGTCAACCTTCCTAACTGTGGTTATTTCCACTAGGATCACCCACCGTCCTTGGACTGGGCTGGAAGCCCTGGCCACATCACTGTGGGTAAGGGAATGTGGCTCAAGCAGGAACTTTTAGCTTGACCTGCAAAAAAAATGGTTTGCTCTGGTCTGCTTAAAGTCCAAGCCATTATTTCAGCAAAGCAGAAGTGGAGTAGTCGTTAGCAATGCTGGCTGCTGTTCCGGGAGACTCTTGGCCACTGACCTCCTCAAATGGACTTGCCAGATCTGAAAGAGTTAGCAGGGTGGCCCAGAAGCGGCAGAACCAAAACACCTCCGGCAGTCTGCTAGTCAACTTCGTTTTCAGCTTAACAGATGTGCTCCTGTTTACCTCCAAAACGAACACTAAAACTCCCAGCCTGAAGCGGAGGAAAAGTTTCCGCCAAGCTGTGCAATCAATTACACCTAAGAGAAAAGAAGACGCTGGTGCTCAATTACAGCTAGCGCGACTCCAAATTAATTAAGAATTTTAAACTCAGTCCCAGAGCTGCTTTCTCCTTAATGATGTTCAATGAAGCCCAGGGTGACTCTCCTTTCTGCAATTAGGCACAGGTTCCTGACAGCAAGAGGGCTGCGACAGGGTCAGCTCCCTCCCGGTGCGAAGCTGGCTGGGAACGTGGCGGGAACACAGGAAAGTGCCCTCCCCTCCACCTGAGCCCAGAAGGCTCGGATGCCCCCCGACTCAGCACCTTGATTTCCTCGGAGTGGAAGATGTCGGCGTCTTCGGGGCTGTCCATCAGGATCTTGGGCCTGTCCCCATCCTTGGCGCCCCCCGAGCTGTCCCTCCGCGCCGTCTTGTGGCCGCCCTGCCGCTCCAGCGCGGCGCGCTCGCTGCTCGTGTTGCCCATGGCGGGGGTCTGCGGGGACACAGGGAAGAGGGAAGGGACGGGCCGGGACTCCCGGGACCCCCGGGACCGGCCGCGGACCACGCCCCTCCGGCGGCGCGCGCGCCCGCCGAGCCCCGCTTTACCTGCTCAGGAAGCTGACGCTAGAACCCCGACGAGAGCGGGACCGTAACCTGACACTTCTCGGACAACTTCTCCCACCCCTCAGCAACTTCCGCTTCCGGCCGGGCCCAGCGAAGGAAGGGTGGTCACCGGGGACGGAGCGCTCGAGGCTAGTACGGCATCACTTCCGTTTCCGTTCCGGGAGAGTCCGCTCGCCGGCGGCCTCTGGCCGCTCAGTGCGCAGTCGCAGTGGGTCGTCGCGGGCAGCTCCCGGGACGAGCTTCGTGACGGCCGGCAGGAGGCGCTCGCGTGTCCCTTTCCCGTTCCCGACTGAGCGAGGATGCTGTTGACCGTGCCGCCCGCCTCGTTCCCAAGTTTGTGCACTCTCCAGTTAATGGGGTCTTTGTAAAGGGCGAATCGTATTAAGAAACCATGAGCTGGAGAGGTGGTAAGGCCGTTGGGGCGCTTGTTCTTGTAGAGTATCGGGGTTCGATACCGGGCGCACAAACTCTTCGCGCCTTAGGTTCCAGGTGATCCCGACGCCTTATTCTGACCCCCGTGGATTCCAGCGCGCAGGTGGTGCCCATAAACGTGCGAGCAGAGCACTCATTCACATAATCTTAAAACAACCCCCCCCCCAAAAAAAAAAAACCACATTTGGGTTTCCCCTTAGATGCAGTGGCTCTCACTTTAGCGTGGATTAGAATAACCTAGCGCTCCTTCACTGCTCAGCGGCCTCTGGACCTGCCAAGTCAAACTTTCTGTAGACTACGGTGGGAGATGCAGATTTTCTGACTGGTGTTTTGAGAAAAATGGCAGACCTTAAGATTTCTGGGAAGTTTTTTCCTGTAGACGCTTTGGAGGCTTAAAAACACTGGCGTTTCAGTGGGTTTTTGTTGGTGTTTAAGTTGAGAGTATGGCCTTTTGATAAGTCATTTTGAAAAGGGCCTTTGGGGGCTGGAGAGATGGCTCAGAGGTTAAGAGCATTGCCTGCTCTTCCAAAGGTCCTGAGTTTAATTCCCAACAACCACATGGTGGCTCACAACCATCTGTAATGGGGTCTGGTGCCCTCTTCTGGCCTGCAGGCATACACACAGACAGAATATTGTATAATAAATAAATAAATAAATATTTTTTTTAAAAAAAAAAACAGCCGAAAAAAAAAAAAAGAAAGAAAGAAAAGGGGCCTTGGAATTATTTTAAACACATTATGCATAAAACGCGTTAGTGCTTAGTGCTTCAGTAGAAGACCCTTATGACTAAAATATTCTCACCTTCTACCCTATCAGACATTTTTTATTTTATTTTATTTTATTTTATTTTATTTTATTTTATTGGTTTTTCGAGACAGAAATTCTTTGTAGCTTTGGAGCCTCTCCTGGAACTAACTCTTATAGACTAGGTTGGCCTTGAACTCACAAAGATACGCCTGCCTCTGCAACACTTTTTAAAAACGTTGTGTGTTTATTTTTTTAATGCATTGAATTTGTTAGCCCGTGTCTTTCATTTCATCCACTGACATTATTTAGGATTATTTTTATATTATCTGCAACATGAGACATTTTTGTTAGGGGAACCAGAGACCCTGATGTCTGATATATGGGCTTTTAGAGGGAATTGGACAGTATCTACGTAAAAAAATGAATCTCATTCTTATGGACAATTTTATTTCTAGTTAATTATTATAAAAATTCACATACAAAACTTATGTACAGTATGCTTTTTTGAAGCATTGATTCTAATTATTATACTAATTCTAAGATGTGTATTATAAGACATTTTATCTCTTTGAAATTGGATGCTTCTAGCCATAAAAGAGTCTTAGATTTGATGAAATGGAGAAATTAAAAAACCCCAGAAGAGCCGGGCGGTGGTGGCGCACGCCTTTAATCCCAGCACTTGGGAGGCAGGGGCAGGAGGATCTCTGTGAGTTCGAGACCAGCCTGGTCTACAAGAGTTAGATCCAGGACATGCTCCAAAACCACAGAGAAACCCTGTCTCAAAAAATCAAAAAAAAAAAAAAAACCCAGAAGTATTTCAGTGCAAGAATGGCTCATGGCATTTTACGGAATATTGAAGGAACATTAAAAAAAAAAAAGCCAATAGCTGGATGTAGCTGGTAGCAGGACACACCTGAAATCCTAGCACCAGAGAGGCTTCCGGGAGGTTGGTCATGAGTTTGAGGCCAGTTTGGGCTATACAGTGGTAGCTAATCTCACAAATGGGTGTATGTGGGAGGGGGAGGGGAGCCTCAGGATGGTTCAGTAAAGGTACTTGCCAGGCCAGTGTGGCAACTTGAGTTCTGTCCCCAGAGCTCTTTAAGTTGTCCTCTGACCTCCACACATGTGCTGTGGCAGTGCACCCACAGGCTGGTGAACACGCGCACGTACACACACACACACACACACACACACACACATTTTATGCTTAAAGAAAAACAGTCAGAATTGTGTGGGGTGGGTGAGTATGAAGCCATCAGAACCTTCTAAATTCCAAAGCCAAGTGACAAAATGGCAGACGGGCATGGGCTCTGACGTCAGCCTACCTGGGTCCAAACTCTGATTTTACCATCTAATAAGTTCCACTGTGGCTTTATTGGGAAATGGCCACAAAAAAATAACGCCGATCTTACATGCCTGTTTCGTGACTCACTTAAGAGAAACTGTGGGAAGTGGTCAGCATCTGACTCTAGAACACACTTAGTGTGAGCACTGTTATTAGTGCCATCATCCTTGAAGATGGAGAGTTCTGGAAGGATTGTCTCCTGGGTCAGAGGTGAGATCATAATAGGAAAACACAGAAGGAAGACGTTTGCTTTTTAACTTATGTGTTTATATAATTTTTTTTCTGCCCGTAAAGCTGTGAGCAACAGTAAGAAAGATATGCTTCAATTCTAAAGGAATACAACATGGAAGGGGAGTGGGCCACAGGAAGGCAAAGGTGCAGGTAGGCAAGGGAAGGGCTGAGGGCCAGAGAGGATTTTCTGAAACTAATGACCAACAGCCTGAATTTACTCAGTGGAGTCAGAACTGTTGAGTGTGCCTGCTGAAATTAGTAAGCCAGGCTGGAACAGGTGACCTGTTTTCCTAACTCTGATCCCAGTGATCTCACATGGCAGCAGGGAGCCCAGGGGCTGTGGGTTCTTTTCTGAAACAACTAGACGGCTGAGACTAGCCCAGGGCCGATGGAGGTGCCGGTCTGAGTGTGGCAGACGCTCCGATGTGCCAGGGAAGTCTCTGCTCTTACTCAGATAACAGTGAAAGCACAGTCTCTTGGTGCCAGACGCCACGTGTCAGTGCTGTCCAGTCGTCATGTGTCAGTGCTGTCCAGTCGTCAATGAGGTGGTTCAGTTCCCGGGGCTGCACAGATGAACCCTGCTCGGGGATGCCTGCTGCAGCAGGTAAGTGGGTGCTGAGATTCTGGCTAAGTCCTTTTCTCAGGACTGTGATGTCTGAGGGAAAGGGCATGCCTTTCTTATTGGTATAACTATACACAGGCTAGCCGCTAGCCTCTTCCCACCAGGAACAGTCAACCCAAGAATCAGAGGTGTTGGCTGGAGAGATGGCTCGGCCAGTAAAGGCGTTTGCAGCCAAGCCTGATGACCTGACTTCAATCCCCAGGACCGAACTGGTAGAAAGAGCCAACTCCCCACAGTTGGTAAATGATTTTTAAAAACATGGTGCTAGTAATTAAAGGCCAGGAAATCACACTGAGATTTGTAAGAGACACATTTTAGTCATTGTGGACCTCAGAATATTTTAAGACTCAGTTTGTCTGCTTGTGCTTGCATCCTATGAAGGCATTGGATGGATGGGCAACAACCTCAGAAGACAGATTTGAGATAGTCTAAAATAATACTATATTATACTCTCAAAACTGACTTCAGCGTACACCCCAGGAGGCCTCAGAGAGATAAAGTTGAGGACCAGAGGTCTGGGTCACTAATGATGGGAATCTTTCTGTATTATATTACATCTCATGAACAGGAGAACTAACATTTGTATCAGCCGCTGGCCCGTGTGGAAAGCCCAGGTAGGGTGGACGCTCCATTTATAGATGTCTACTTAGTGTCTCTGTTGGGTCACTTTTGGTGAAACTTGTTTGGTGTTTTTTTTTTTTTTTTTAATTTTATTGAGCTCTACATTTTTCTCTGCTTCCCTCCCTGTCTCTCCTCTCCCACCTTCAACCCTCTCCCAAGGTCCCTATGCTCAGGAGATCTTGTCTTTTTCTACTTTCCATGTCAATTAGATCTATGTATGTCTCTCTTAGGGTCCTCATTGTTTTCTAGGTTCTCTGGAATTGTGATTTGTAGGCTGGTTTTCTTTGCTTTATGTTTAAAAACTACTTATGAGTGAGTACATGTGATAATTGTCTTTCTGGGTCTGGGCTACCTCACTCAATATGATGTTTTCTATCTCCATCCATTTGGTGGCACTTGTAACACAATGAGCTTGGCAACAGAGCCTTGTCTCAGATTTGATCTCCAGTACCATAAATAAAAACAAGTCACTTGTCAATGTTTAGTATCAAAATAGTTGCATTGTAGGGTTCTCTTTCTCTCAATTGGAACCTCAACCAAAGTGAACACATTTAAAGCCAATAACCTTCAGGCTTTCCTAACAGGTAGCACAGAAACCATACCTGGGCCAGGCGGTGGTGGCATACACCTTAGATCCCAGTTGACGTCACATGACTGAACCAAGACCACAACACAATGGTCTTTCCCTTCCAGGAGACAGAAGACTAAAGCATTGCCTCACCATTGAGTGGCTGTTCCCTCTTTTGTGAGCAGTCAGGAGGGGTAGAGATGGATGAGTTTGGTCCAGGAGTGAGCAATGGGAGTGCCTGCCTGGTGTGCCCTGGGGTAGGGAGTGCAGCTTTAGTGGGGCACTGTTTCAGTGTGATCACTTTTGATGAAAAAAGTAAAAGAGTTGCCTGGGGCTGGAGAGATGGCCCAGGGGTTAAGAGCACTCCCTGCTCTTCCAGACCAGAGTTCGGTTCCCAAGCATCCATGTATGGCTGCTCACAACTACCTGTAACTCCAGTTCGGGGGATTGGACATCCTCTTTTGGCCTCCTTGCGCGCGCGCGCGCGCGCGCACACACACACACACACACACACACACACACACACACATTTTTAAGAACTACAAA